AAGTTGTGGGCTGCCTATTCGATGACAACTTACTATCGACTTCGCCGCATGGGTTCCTAAAAACCAGATCCTGTGACACCCGCATGCTGGGTTATCTTGAATACATCACAAAGGGGCGTGACCAAGGCCCTTCTGCTGCTGTACTGTTTTTCGACTTCAAGAAGCTGCTTAACAAAGTGCCCCACCAGGGACTACCCATGAAGGTCGGGTCGTTTGGCGTGGACAGCCCCCTACTTAACTGGCTTGAATCGTTTCTTCATGATCGCTCCGAGACAGTTAAATTACATGGTCGCTTTAAAAACCCCTACCGATTACAAGTGGTGTGGTACAAGGGAGTGTTCTTGGTCCACTTCTCTTTCCCGTATATATTAGTGACATATGTAAAATGGCTGGACGTGGAAAACCAAATCTTTATGCTGATGACCCTGGGATTTTCTACAACTTCCAGTGCGGTGCAATTTCTGAAGGTCCGTCAGCGGCCCATGCAGATTTAGACTGTCTATTTGAGCGGAGTCAGAAATGGTAACTGGGATTCAGACGTGAAAAATGCAGAATTCTACCCTCAGGAGATCGTGAAATTCAAATACTCCATAAGGAATGAGATCTGGGTGTTTAGTACTCTGGTAACCCTAACTTCAGTGAGCATGTCACAGCTACAGTCTCTAAAGCTAGAAGATTATCAGGTTTCCTTCTGAAGAGCTTCTGTACAACGGTGGCTAAGCTTGCTCTTTTTAGGGTTTGCGTCAGACCGATACTGGGATATGGCTCATTCGTTTTTTCTAGCGTGGACAAAACTGACAGACCATCACTCGAATATGTCCAAGGAGGTTTCGAAAGACGATTATCGAGTTCAGCTGGTGATGTAGGTCGCATAGATAGGTGCGCTATACCGTCTATTGGACAGCTGCGGAAACGGCATCCAAGAAACAACTTGATTCTCTTGTACAAAATTCTGCGTGGTCTGTCATACCACTCCTCCCCACCCACCTGGAGACACGCAACGCCACACGAGCTTAGAAACCACGCACTGGCGTTGTCGATGGATGGATGCTATGAGAATACCGGGTGTTGACTCTTTACTACATGTCACAGCTTGATCTGGAATAGGTTTCCCGTAGCCATACGCGGCAGCGCTTCTGTGTCGCAGTTTAAACGCCTTGTCAACTTGCCTCTAGGTTCGGATAATATCCAGTCCATTTGTAGATGGATGCCTTACCACAGAGGTACTCAGAGATGGCTCTGTGAGACCCTAGTGCCCCAAAGGTGGTGAAATCGATTGTTACTTAAGAATGACTTGGGTGGGATCTCTTTCTAAGTATTATTTTGCGAATTGAATAGCCCTAGATTTGGAACAGCGAGAACTTTATGTATCTTTCAGCTTCCCCTCCGCCGCATAACCCGCATCATCGTAGTAGGATAGCCCATGTATGGTTAACAGCATACTCGCCTGACTCAAAGCGATGTGTAAATACACTTGATTGTACTACTGAAAACAGCCTGTCCTCAGAATCGCTCGCAGACGTCTGTAGATCAAATTGTCTCGTTTCCTACACACTAAGACTACCATCAACTCACTTCTTTATAACAAAACTTACTGCATATTCGAAGGCCCCTGAACACGCCTCTGCATGCGCCCATGTGCACGAAGATTACTCATTCCTTGCCTCTTGGATTCTGGCCTAGATATGTCGACTGATATGCTCCACCGTTCAGACAAATGGTCTCAGAGCTATACTTTGTGTCTATCGTGCGTTAAGTGTCACTGACTACTATCTGACCACAGTTTATTGCTGAAAAGGCAGATAATTTTTGTGCAAAAACTCTCAAGTCCCCATCTGAGTTCCTTTCTTTAACTGCTCTGTTCATATCTTGTTGTCCACTGACTCAATTACACGACAAATTGTCCCATATCCGCGTTTCCCTTTCTCTCTCATAGAGAGGTTCACAATGCAGCCGCTGCATAATGACTATTTTGATAGTTCACCCTTACTTTATGGCTCAAATTAGAACCGTGTCTAGAAATCTCGTTACTGCATACCACTTGTACTGAGGCATACACTTTCTCCGACTGATAACAGCCACTCACCTCCCAGGGAACGAAACCGAAGGCGACCGCATATGAAGCGTCGACCTTGAAGATATACTGGATAGTTTAATGGGGAAACCTTGCATGTCATTGGCCGCAAAATGATTGCAGTTCATGGATGAAATGTACCTTTGGCTCAATCTACTCCAGCGAATTTGTTTTCAACGACAATTTCCCAAGCATTCGCTGCATGGTGCTTGACACTGTGCGATACTGATCCCAAGCTTTGTCATCGGTCCATACCAAGGTTTAAATCTAGTTTCATGTGCCTCCTGTAAACAACACAAACTTACTGACCGTTCGCATCTTTTTAGCTTTATTTACGCCTGTCGCTTGATATTCTGTGTACTTTAACTATTTGTGTGACTCATTAACTGAAGTCTTGAGGCTTAATCACAATTGCCTGGTTGAAGCTCACACTGGGTGTCAATGCATGCGTTGCTACTTACCACTGTTGTGTAGTGAAAGGGTTGTTATTTGATACTTGCAGCCAGCAACACGCTAATAGTTGCATCCTCTGGCAGACTGCGTATTGTGTGACGATTTATTATTTTTAAGTTTTCTCAGTATCACCGGGAACAGTGACACTCAGATGTTGCCTGTAAAGACAGCAAGTGTCCGCATAATTTGCTATGGGCACGAAACCTGCCAGGATGTGAGCCTGCGTTAAGGATAATGATGATAATAATATATTTCATACGACATAAGTTACACGAAAACAAACCAGTTCACAGGTTTGATCATTTTGGTAATAAGAACTGACTGTTATGTGTAATGTCAAGCTGTACATTAGATACCGTTATTCACCGCATATAAGACGTGCGTCTAGAGGAGGAACGTTAATGCTTTGCAGACAACAAAGGACGAAACAGACAAACACCAACACAAGTGTTTGTCGTACTGAAGCAAGCTCAGTTCGAAAGTAGGAATTATTCAGCCATTGTTCGAATTTTCCAATATTCTTGAAGGTAGAGTTGGTAGTACAGCCATGGCCTTGGGTCATATGCGCTCGTCATAAGGTTTTGATAGCATGGTGCACGCTGACAAATGCAACTACTAGGATTCCATTTGGATAAGGACTGGCTAATTAAACCTGAAAAAGTGAATAGCAAAAGCGAGCGGCAGGTGATACTCGGAACAGGAGCACAGAAGTACTACGCAGAAGTATGTCGACCATGATACACGTAGGTGAGTTCCTTGTACTGACTAAAAAAGTTACTTGAGGAGGCACTGAAACCTACAATTTGGAGATAAGCTTATGGGGAAGAAGATGAAGGTGCATACGAGGGTAGTGGAAACCAAACTGAAACTGAAGATATGTGTAGAAAACCTATGTACAAAAGTTTAATGGAGCTATAAGCATTTAATTGGAACTCATGCTTTTTATTGTAGTGATAACCACACTTTATATAGCCATGTGAGAGGGATGATCATGGTGTTACCTGTTGGGTGTTACCATACCAGGGTTATGGAGACAATATGGTGGTGCATAGTGAGGTGAGTCAGCCTACGGCGTTTGCTAGTTCTGCGTTTGTTGACGGCTTCAGGAAAGGGTTGGGCAGCGGTGCGTTTTTTACGTTCATCCAGCTATGATGTGTAATAGGTTGATGCAACCTGCTGAGCTATACTAACACATCAAAGTGAACTCTTTACGAGAATTGTTTTGTCGCTAGCTTCATTAAGAGCTTTCATCAACCTTATACTTCCCCGTCGGACGTCTCATGCCCACTTACCATCCCCCACTAATAGTGCTGCTGTTTCTGCTCCCATTATCGTTCCTACAATCCTACTTCCAGTTCCTCTTCCCTCTGGCTCTATGGTCCCGCCCTATTTGTTGAGATTTCTCCCGTCACTTGTCTCCCATGATTCTACCTGCGTTTCTTCTCTTTCTTTCCGCTTCGTTTCACCCAGGTTTGTTTCTTTGAGCTTCCTCATCCTTAATTTCGACAGACATTTCTCCCGTCCTTTTGCAGCTGGTTCGAATATCTGTCTGGTGGCGTGATACTTGAGGAACCCATTGCCTACACATTTCCTAAACAAACCATACTATCCCTAAAAGTTTGGTAAACATCCAAACGCCCATCAGGCTAACCAGCGCCACACCAGGTGAGTTGGTAGACCTACTGCATCGAAAATCACCAAGAACCCGTAATCGTTCCTCATGGCCTAGAAGCGAGCACGATGAGATCGACTGACCTACCCCGGGTCGTGAAAAGATATTCTACATTGTACCCGTAGTTCCTATTTCTACAACTTGTTCTTTGAGGTCTTGAATCCGTTACAGATATGCAGCTAATTTATGAGATTTGAAAGAAAACGAAAAAAATCAGTTGCTTTATACCAAGAAGCAGCCACAGCTACATCAGTCAACTCCTTCAAACGACTAGTGGATGAGTATGTGAGCGCAAATGGCTTACCACGACTATTTGTTAGTAGCATCCCTGTATTCCCCAATCCTAGTATTTGCAGTAAGACGCACCTCTCCTCTATATTATTGCCAGTCACATTTATCTTTTCAAAAGTACTTTTCACTTCTCTTTTTCTCATTCCTCACTCACCCCTTTTCTATCGCTTTTTAAGTAACGCCTAACACTTACTTGCAGATGCCTACAACAACAGGAATTACAAAGCAGTTGATAGGTCTTATCAGCAGCTCCGTTGGCCCCACGAAACAAACCAAGCTACAATTTGCAAATAAAACACCTCCAAGTAGACAAACTCTACCTCCAAAGCTATAAACAGGAAAACGCGAAGACTTCTGCGACCATCGAAAGGGTACGACCGAACGAAAAGAAGCTAACCCCAAGACCTAGAAGCGAGAGCTCAAAAGCCGCAAGTTTCTTCTACTCGCACTGTCGATGTTGGAACTCGTAAAACAGATATTGGCCTGAAGTTTGTTTTAGTCACTTTGACGGAATGTGGGCATAGCAACTTCCAGTTTGATCGGACATCAAATTATCCAGCACCGTTCTGCTGTGTATTAGAAGTAGTAAAATAAATCTCTCTTAAATTCTAAAGGATATATTCCTGGCTTCAATGCTTTCAACAACTGTGATTAATAAGAGGAATCAAGTTTTTCCATCAGAAGAACCTAAAGGTAAACTTAACGTTAGTTATTATGGCTCAGGCAGAAAACATTTCAACCAGGCTCACAAAAGAACCTCATTGTTTGGTTCAGAAAACGAACCACAGTTTTTTGAGGATTGCATAAAGCATTTTGCGAAGCAATCTAAAGAAAAGAGTTGTAGGGTAAACAATGAAGTTATGAATGGAGAGGAAACATATGACACTATACAAAATACTGTATGTCGCTTCAAATAAAATTATGCCAATGTTATTTCTTAGGATTTGCAAGAAAGCTACCAGCCCCCAAAGAAACAGAATGGTCAAAATGACGCGGAGGTATATTAATATATTTTGATATGTGCTTCAGACCCTTTCACACAAAGATGAATTGGAAACAGAGAATCCTTTGAGTGCCAGCACTATAAGTAGAGTAGAACTTGCAGATGTTAATCAGCTTGTAAGGGGTAAGCATATTTTTTGGTCCTAGACTTACACTTGCCGAATTTAATGTGATAGATGATGGGACAAACAAATATATGAAGCGTGAGCACTTATGTGAAAATTCACAGATGGTACAAAATGGGGTGAGTCCTGATATCTAGCCATATATTTGTACTAAAACACATCTGTCAATCAGATGTATGGGTTACGATCTCACTAGTTTCAGCTACCTTTTTGTTAAGAGCCCATATCACAAAAAACAACTGTTACTTATATAAACTGCGCCACTGACATAAAGGACACAGTGAGAACCAGCGTTAAAAGTACTTCAAGTAAAGAATAAGCTTGAAGCCCGAAATTTAGATAAGAACAGGTAAAGTACACTCAGTGTGCTTCATTTATTCCGCATCCATCTGCTTCTCAAGTTATCGTCTTTTTCAGTGTTCAGTATTCAGAAACAAGGATACTAGGTCGACTGGCCTGTGTTAAGCCTTGAAGTGGGTTTTTTTATGAAAGTCTAGTTGATCTTTGAATGCGTTCAAAAAAGGAGTTGATGCCACTTTTCGAGCAAGGAATCCCAGTTATTGACCACTGTGTGATGGGTGTAAACTGACACTCAGTTAATTCGACCGTGAATTTAGGATTTTCTTGTGGTGGCCTTGAAGATGATCAATCCTTTAGGGAGAAAGGAAAGAAGACATACCAATCCCAAGGTTACTGTGAAGAATACGGATAGCCAATGCCAGACCACCTTTCTCTTATGATAAAACAATGGGTAAAGATTTATTTTCCCCCAAACGGTCCTCAACAGATGCCCTAGATGGACCAGGCACCAACCTAGTACCAAGTCTTTGAACAAACTTCGGTGCCTCAACATCAAGCCTCAAGCAAGCACTGACCTCTTGAATGCAATATTCGTGATGGGGTCACACAAATCCAAGGCAAAATATACGAAACACGTCTTCATCGAAGCATTTCAACGCTCTTCAAAGAGACCGCAATACTCGGAACCATTTTGCCACGGCTCCAGTGCAGTGTGCAGGCACTTTTAAGTTGTGGCTGATAATAACTCCCACGCCTTTAATTTCGCCGACATCCGGTGCCAGGGCCTCGTTTATCAGCCTCTGATGACAGTTGCAATGGCCAATATGCAAAACTGCACATTTGCCAGAATTAGTATTTGAACATCAATGCTTGAACCAATTGACTTGTGCATTTGAATCTCATTGTATTGCACGTCTGTTGTCATCTTTACGAATGACCTCCATATTCTCACCCGATTGGCAAATGGCAACACCAGTAACTTAATCGCGTCTGAGAGTTCATTGGCATAAGTGCAAAACAGGAGACGACCCAAGACTGTCGCTTACGGGACCCCACTCTTTACAGGTTGCAATTTAGTGTACCACTCACTCTCACTTTCCAGTCATATAGAAATTCTTCGATCCAGGCCTGCATCCAAGTGTCGAAACAAAACTTGGGAGATTATCCATTAGTTCAACGTGTGAAACGTTGTCGAGGGCTTTACTGAGGTAAGTGAACACCACGACTACAGGCATCCTGTTGTCACGAACTGCTACCCATTTCTCTCTTGCTATGAGGAGGTTAGTTAAGCAAGACCAACCAACGCGAAACCCATGTTATGGAAATGTGAGGACTACTTCCTTCGACATGACTGAGCATCCTATCTTTGATAATCTTTTCTGGAACTTTGATAACTATACTGATTAAGCTGACAGGATAACAATTCACCACAAGTTTCTTTGTGTCCGCCATAAAAACCGAGCCGCTCACAACACCGTTCTAGTCTCCTGGAATCTGGGCCTGGCACAGAGACATATTGACTGGCCGTCCAAATGGTCTGGAGATAATGTCAACGAAGAGGAATGGTAGTGTTGAGTGCGAGCCATCAGAATCAGTGGATTTCTCAGGCTTGGGGTTGGTCAGTAGCCGAAGACCCACCTCCCCCCACTAGGCCGAATGTTGGGGCATTTTAGGGAGTGCTGGCTGGAGTAATGACACCTCCACCTAGTGGGAAGACTGGTGAGGTATGCTATTGTATACAGTCCAGTCCAGTGTGATTGCACACTCTAATGGCCAGGATATCTGCACACCATACATTCCGTCTAGAGGGTACGGAATCATAATCTAAGTCATGTGTGCGAAACTTTAGAAGCAATGCTAAGTGGCCGCTATTAGCTAGTGGAGCTGTGTTGGAGTTCAGTTGCTTCCTCTCTTTGGTATGCTATAACCAAATCCAAGAGCAATGGCTTATGTCCCAGATCAAAACGCGTTGAACTAATGATTTTTTGAACAAAGCACTCTCTAAAACCAATAGAAGTAGGTCACCATCGACGCAGGTGCTTTGAGTCCGGGGATGTGAACTGCGATCAGTTGATGGGAGGTGCATTTAGGACACCTATTATCAGGCGTCTGTTACCATTACTCCATTCACGTATGTAGTTCGGAACGAGATCATTTACTATGCAGCACAGAATTCAGTATATTATCCCGATTCCGACTAAATCATCAAGTGACTTGACGTCATGACTTATTAATTCACATGTACCGTTCTCATTTGCTTCCATATCTCTTATGAGTCACGTTTCTGTCACGAGAACTACGTCGGAGCTTACTTCGTCAACTTAAAACCTCAAATCTGAGATTTTATTTTGTGGGTTGCAAGCGTGAATATATAGTACGTTACAGTGTTTGGTGGGAAGCCCTGCTTGCCGCTGCATGTCTTGGAAGAATTTGTTTCCAAGACCTTACTATCCATAGACGAACCAGGTTTATGTTCTCTTTTCCGTTCTCTTTCTGATCTCTCAGCTCTGTTGGTGCCGATTATCACTTTATTCTATCTTCAAGAGACCAGTTAAGATGGATGCGAATATTCTAGTCATTTACCTTATGCGCGTTACCGTATCGGAATGCGTATCTTCCTTATTTCGAAGGACGACGTTTTATGTTCTTCATGATTTAAGTTCAGTTTCGTCGCGTCTTCCTAGTCTGATCATTTTGGAGATATGTACTTCAAGTGATGTTTCTGGTAGTATATGCTGAATGATGCCCTAGACTGAAAGCAACTTAGTGGGGTCCTTCGACATTAAAAAATAACACCAGATGTTGGGTGAGTGGCCCTCAGCCTAGTATTGACATACTTTGAAGCCTTTTCAACTGATTGTACTACCTTAGGACTTAAAGGCTTCCTCGAAGCTTTCTTTGGTTTAATCCAGTCACCATCAACTGTCAAGTCTTAATTATTCTTCTCACTGCTAGGTTTCGGGTAGCCGATTGTTTGTAACTCACCAAATCTAGTTAGACCCTTTGAGTTCTTCTTACAGCAAGTTCGTATTCATTGAATTGGAGTCCTAAACTTTTCCAACTCACTCACATTTTTCTTAACGTCTGTTTTTCCGATTGACATAACTTCGATTACACTGGCTATATCATCATCTGAAACAACACCCAGTGAAGCAGAGAAGTTTACCTTACTAGATGGTACCACAGACTGAACCGCTTCCTGGATGATGATGAACGTTAGTTTGTGGTAGATGTACATCCACCTGGCAGTAGGCTTACTGCAAGGTTTATATTCGGATGACGTTAGGCCAGTGTACGTGATGTGGTACCAACAGCCCATAGCTGTCAAACTGCATACTGTCCTATAAAGGGTATTAGCATTCAGGTCGATCATAGGCGTTTTTAAGGTTAGACATTTAAACCACATAAAATACAAAGTCACTGAAAATGATAACCTATAGTGTTAAACTTGAAAACAAAAAACGTTGTCAATGTAGGAGTAGAATGAGAGAAAATCGTTAAACACTTGAAATAGAATTTAAAAAAAGACGAAACACAAACTTTTGCTAGGTCCATTCAAGTCCAAGTTCACCGTAAAGCTTTAGGATATGATTTATGCAACAAAAACTGAATTTGTCAAGAACTTGTAAAAAGTCACTTCATGCTTTCGAATTGCGCACGATGAATATTCCATCATTTAATCAGCTTAATGGTGTGCTTACTATATGATCAGTCATTCGTTAAACATTTCATTGGAGTATCCAACAAACAGAAGGGTATTCCACTAATTGTAACCAAGTAGCCATCAAAACATACTTAACTGTCAAGTTGTATTCTGATTAAGAAGTTAACTGTTTAACTTGAGAACCACATATTCGATAATTTGTTTAACAGGCGTGACAAAACCTTCAATGTTTGCGAAGAAGCAAACAAATTTGAATGTGTTGATCTATCTTAGTTGCTGACCTGCATTAGTGACTTAGAAAGACTAGACTGTGGAAGAATCTGTTGGAAGATCTTTTCAAATCTTTGCAAAACGAAACATAGTCATGTTAAAAAGTCTCGACATTTGATGAAAATACACTTTCTGAAAATGATATCAAAGTGGTGTTGAGAGAATGGACAGTCTGAAGATAATGGTTAGTGAAAATAATCGACCTTTAGAAGACGTCAAAGAGTGAATACACCTGCGCAGTGGTGACCAGTTTTCAGCCACGTCACTAAGAGACCTCAACGACTGATTCCTAACATCGTGAGGACTCCAGTCAGGCACCTACATCTCCCTACACGGCTCAAACCAACAGTCAGGGACTTTATTAACTTGTACCATGTCTTCTTCTGGCCACTCTGAACCCTATTCCAACAGAATTCAACTTCCTCCAGCATTATCACCTGGGCCTGTGAAGGTTTACAACCTCATCATGTCGAGTACACTCTGTTTGACCTCAAAATTGCTTACAAGGGGATTCTATCGGACGTGAGCTATTCTAAGAAGACACCTGTGATCGGAACTTGTCTTCTACTTTTAATGGCCATGTCTCACAGCCATGCAACAGGACAGAACAGGCTACAATGCAATATACTCGCCTTTTGATAGATAGTTAGATATCTTGCCAGTCGACGCCACAGATAAAGCAAGTTAGCAAACTCCAAACGGACCTGGATCATGTAACAAACTGTGAGGAGCGAGAAGATGGGTATACGCTGTTTGACAGATGAAAAGATCCTAGAAGATTTCACCAATGATGATGATGGTTTATGTCTAATGTCGCACAAACTCAAACATCTATAAGCGAAAACTAGCAAGTTGGCAGAAGAGATGAGGCAGCAAAGGAAGACGGGACTTCCTCCAAGTGGATGTAGAGACTACAGATGTGATGGAGATACCCAACCATCAACAACAAAAACAAGCACCGATCACCATGAAGGAGAGAAACCTATAAGAAGTTGTCTCTTTCACCTATCTACCTACGAAGTATCGTCTCAACTACAAGCGAAACAGGCACAGATGATGATGTCAAAGCCAGGATCGGAAAGACAGCCCTTCATTAATCTGAAATAATTAGTGTGGAGATCTGCTGCACTGCACCCAGCATAAAGATCAAGATCCGAATTTTTAACACTAATGTCAAGTCAGTGCTTCTGTGTGGTGGTTCAAAGACTTGGCGCGTTGCGAAGAGCATTTCAAACAAACTGCACACATACATCATCAACAACTGTCACCTACGCTTACTCGATACTGAAGATAAGATGAGAAGGTGGGAAGGAATGAGCAACAAAGAACTCTGGCCTGAAAACGAACCAACCAACAACCAATTGTCAAACAAATATGCTGAAGAAAGTGGAAATGGATTAGGCATACACTGAAAAGACCATTCAGGGACATCACGAATCTGGCGAGGCCGTCGAATGGAAGCGAAATACGAAACGACGAGTTAGGCGTCCGATGGCGACATAGAGATGGTGTGTGTGAGGAAGAAATGGAAGCTTCTGGGCAGTGGTGGAGTCAGGGTAAAAAGACTGATGAGAAGAGAGTGAAATGGCGACGTGCCACTGAAGCCCTATATCCCACTAGGAACTCAAAGGACAAATAATAATAATAAACGGGCCTTCCACATCTGAGCTGAGATTTCATCATCAACCAGCCTGTTCGGGCTGATGATACAACTTAGCAAGTAAGTGAAGTGGTTCACGCATTCCACTACTTCACTCACTATTAATAAACTGGGGGAACATTCTAATGCATATTTGTTGTATAAAGTTAACGGTTTATAAAAGTACGACAGGATAGTAACTGAACTACCTGATAAGATTCAGATTTGTTGTTTGAGGACAGAAGGCTGTCAGCCTATACGAGTCATTTTCCAGCAGATTTCTGTGCTTGTCCAATCCCCTTTCGAACCAGTCAGTCAATGATGCAGACACCACTTCTTCTGGGAGTCTGTTACAGGAGTCGATTAATCGACGCGAGGGCCAGTAGACTGCTCAGATTATGTTCGTTCTTCGCTTTTTTATTCTATAGAGATGTCCTTTGAGGTGTCCCAACCTAGTGGGAAGGAAAAAAGGTAGATAGGATCTAAAGACATTTCTTAGAATCCTGTATAGCATGATTAGATTTCCTCTCAGTCTGCGATAGGATGAAAAGAAGAGATTCAACTCCTTAAGTCGATCTTCACAGACCAGGTCAGCCACCACAGGAATTATATGAGTGGCTGTTGCCATCTATGTACCCCATTTGCATACTCACACATTTACCTACTTTGATAGATATAAACCATTGAAAGTACTAGTTTTCTTTACCTGCTTTTTATATCTTGCGATCTAGTGTCTAGGTAATAAGTATTTATTCCAAAAACGTCTGGATAACAGTTTTCAAAAACAAATGTCAAAACGTGGTTGTCGCATAGCTGATATTTAACTATGTAAGACGATATATGTTTTGCTGGTTGGAGTCAATTGGCAGGCTGTTTTGGACCTAGGTTTCGTGCCCATTGGCACTCGTCAGCAAGGCATATCTGCAACATTGACGGAACTGATATCCCGCCTGAGATTCAAACCCGCATCACCCAGTGTTGTAGTCAGCGACTTTATCACTGAGCTATTCGGGACTATTGACCTCTGTGGCACTGGGTTATATGCATTGAGCGGTCACGGGAGTGCAACCAATTTCATGTTGTCTAGTCCTGACCAATCAATACATGTAACCCAGTCTTACAGGAGGTCAATCGCCGTTCAAATAGCTCAGTGATAAAGACGCTGACTACAACACTGGGTGACGTGGATTCGAATCTCAGGTGGGACATCAGTTCCGTCGAGGTTGCAGATACACCTTGCTGACAAGTGCCAATACTCACGAAACCTACCTACATCTACTAATGTGTATTATGATGCTGTGCTTCCTAGATTGGTTGCCACATTGCAAATATGATTGATAGAATTCGGTCTACACTCAGGACTAGACAACATGAAATTGGTTGCACTCCTGTGGCCAATTAATACACAGATAGACAATTCACTGTTGCATTTCTGATATAAAGTATGAGGTATGATAATGTTCAATGTTTATTTAACTATAAGAATAATGAATATTGAACAAATTGTTAAGTTTCTGATAGATATAAACAATAATTTATTAACTTATGCATTTTATTACTTTTCAGAAATTAGACAATAATAACAATGTAGAATATTTAATTCAAGCTGTTAAAGAAAGAGAAAATAAAAGAGAATTTGATGCATACAAATCTGATAAAGATTCATTTTTAACTGAATTTAAAGAAAAGTTAAATAGTAGAAAAGAATACAATAAAAGAGGAGTGTTAAACGCACCATGGTATACAGATCCAGAAGAAGGAATTGGTTCAGTAAATGTAAGAAGAGAAAATGATAGATATGTAAATCAAATGCATAATTTATCATCTATTATATCCAAATCTAAAAGTACAACTCAACAAGATTTTCCACGATATTCTGATCAAGAATTAAAAGTAAGTATTGAGTAAAATTATGATAGATAGGATAAAGTATCATAGTATATAAGTTCAAGCTGATATACTCTTAAAGTACAATGTAAAAACATTGATAGAAAAAGAGTAATATTAGAGTAGAAAGAGCGTTGAAATTATTTTTGAAAATGAAGGTTTTTTTTTGAAGATGTTGAAACATTCAACGATATCTGAGAGCAAATTGTGACCTGTTGTGAACTATATGAATAAGAGTTTCCAATCAGTGGTTTTTGTTATCTTGACAATGCCAACCTGACAACGTAAACGGCTCAAACTAGCAGTTATTATTATTATTATTATTATTAGTCCCTTGGGTTCCTAGTGGAACATAGGGCTTCAGTAGCACGCCTCCAGTGACCTCTGTTCTCTGAGATCTTTTGAACCTGGTCCCACGACAGCCCAGAAGCTCTCATTTCCTCCTCGCACGACCTCCTCCATGTCACCCTTGGACGTCCAACTCGTCGCTTCCCATGGGGATTCCACTCGAGGGCCTGACGCGTGATGTCTTCAGTCGGCCTTCTCAGTTCATGGCCAATCCATCTCCACTTCTTCCTGCATATTTGTTGGGTGATAGGTTCTTGGTTGGTTCGTTCCCAGAGTTCATTGTTGCTTATTCTTTCTGGCCATCTGATCTCCAGTAGCGAGCGTAGGCAGTTGTTGATGAATGTCTGTAGTTTATTGGAAATCCCTTTCGTGACGCGCCAAGTCTCTGAACCATACAAGAGCACTGACTTGACGTTGGTGTTGAAAATCCGTATCTTGTTCCGCATGCTGAGTGCAGAAGATCTCCACACTGGTTTCAGGCTAATGAACGTCTGTCTTGCCTTTCCGATTCTGACTTTGACGTCCTCGTCCGTCCCGCCTGTAGTTGAGACAGTGCTTCCTAGATAGGTGAAGGAGGTTACTTCCTCTAAGTTTCTCCCGTTGATGGTGATTGGAGTTTGTTGTTGTTGTTGATGGTGGTGGTGCGGTATCTTCATCACCTCTGTCTTCTCTATATTCACCTGAAGTCCCGTCTTAGCTGCCTCTTCTATCAACTTGTTAGTTTTTGCCTGCAGATCTTCAAGTTTATGTGACATTAGGCACAAGTCATCGGCGAAATCCAAGTCTTCTAGGTTCTTTTCCGTCGTCCAGCGTATCCCCCTCTTCTCGCTGCCTACTGTTTGCTGCATGATCCAGTCCACCACAATAAGGAATATCATGGGGGATAGTAGGCAACCTTGTTTCACTCCTGTCTTCAAACTAGCAGTTACAGACTTCATAAACTTTTATCACATCTAAGTACACGATAGTTGGGTAGGCGCAACAAAAATTGAAGCCAACTCAATCGGTAGAGAGTAGTAACCTACTCAAAATCAGAGAACACAGCACAGAATGGCAGTCAACTAAACTCTACCTCAACTTTATCGACTTTGAAAAGGCCTTTCACAGCGTCTACCGAAAAGTAATTTGGCAGTTGCTTCAACACTATATGAAGACGCCAAATGCCAAGTGATTTACAATGGGAAGCTCAGTGATGCCTTTAAAGTGAAGACAAGAGAAAGACAAAGCTGTCTACTATCACCCATGATCTTCCTGATTGTGGTGAACTCGATTATGCAGCAAACAGTGAGGAACGAGAAGAGGGGGGTACTCTGGCTGGACCGGGTAAAGCATCCTAGAAGATTTGGATTTCGCCACCGGTGACCTGTGTCTAATGTCACACAAACTCGAGCATCTACAGGCGAAATCCAACAAGTTGACAGAAGAGGCAGGGCAGCGAAAACGGGACTTCAGGTGAACGTAGAGAACATGGAGGTGATGAAGATACCCAACCAACAACAGCATCAACAACAAGGACCAATCACCATCAACAGGAGAAATCTAAATAAAGAAACCCTTTTCACCTATCTAGGCAGCACTGTTTCAACTACAGGCAGCACAGACGAGGATGTCAAAGCCAAGATCGGAAAGACAGCAAGACGGGCCTTCATTAACCTGAAACCAGTGTGGAGATCTTCCGCACTCAGCATAAATCCTGAACAAGATCCAGATTTTCAACACTAATGTGAGTCAAGTAAGTCAGTACTTCTATGTGATGGTTGAGACTTGGCGCGTTACGAAAGGCGTTTCCAACAAATTATAGACATTCATCAACAACTGCCTACGCTGACTCGTTACAGGAGATCAGATGTCCAGAAAGAATAAGCAACAAGGAACTCTGGCTGGCTGGCGAAATCCAAATCTTCTAGGATCCTTTACCCGGTCCAGCCAGAGTACCCCCCTCTTCTCGTTCCTCACTGTTTGCTGCATGATCGAGTTCACTACAATCAGGAAGATCATGGGTGATAGTAGACAGCTTTGTCTTACTCCTGTCTTCACTTTAAAGGCATCACTGAGCTTCCCATTGTGAATCACTTGGCATGTGGTGTTTACTGCCATAGTTTTAAATTGTACAGTATATCTTTATTTTTATTGTATCTAGGAATGTAGACCCAAAGGGAGTTATTATGGAAATAAGGAGTCAATGGACTGGCCGTTTAAAGAAAACAATGAAATAAATCATGAAATGGGACTAAATGCATCACATTATCATAGATCTTCTGCAGTTATTGGCCAGAATTTCATCGAGAAATTTGGTTTAAAAACACCATCTCCATATAAGAAACAACAAGTGAGTGAATATTAAACAAATGAATTCTATACATTAAAAGATTTGTTTATATGACGCCCTATGATAAGAGAAATTGGATTAGAATGGAAGAGGGTTGACATTGGCAAGACCTACAAGTGACACCACTTCATAAAGTGTTTGACTGTTGGTCTGAGCCATGTAGGGAGATGTAGAGTAGGTGTAGACTACCACCTGACTGGAATCCTCGAGACAATACGAATTAGTGGTTTACAGCTCTTGGTGAAATGGATGGAAATCAGTCACATTGGCCCAGATATATTCAAATACTCGCACACAACTTTGTCTACTTTAACATCACCCTTTTTCGATACATGTGTTCTTTGTGTACTGTTATGAAGTGGGGTAAGTTGACGTGATGCATTTTTGAACAAGGTTCTACGTTGATTTTTTCTGTCTGTCTGGTTACGTGAATAATATAAATTTTCTACAAGAAAGTAGAATGAAGCGAAACTTCGGGTTACAGAATCCAACCTTTAAAATTATGAGGCAGTAAATATACTACTTAATCATCACTAAGTACCATAATTAGATATTATAAAACTTGAATGTTGCTTAGAAAACGCATCTACTCAAATTGTTACACTTGTTATCCGTACACATCAAGAGGAAGTGGGTAGGAGAAGAATAGCACTAGAAGAAATAAAAGTTCAAAAGAAATGAGGTAAGAAATGGATAAAGTTCAAGTAGAATCTCCCAAGACAACAAACAGTGAGTACGTATAAACTATGGTGGTTAATTTCCGGGGATACCCGGCTTTAACCACTTCTAAGAACATTCCGACTGTCCTACAGCTACTATTCTTTTGTTGACTATCCAGTCGGATCCAGAATGAAACATTGGGATAGGGACTCCAATATTTGTAGAATTCGAGGGAGCTGTAAGCAGTCTGAAACAAAGAAGGAACTAGTACCGTAGGTGCTTAACGATTATAGTTGTGGATTATTGGTCAGATGAACTGGAATGTTATCTAGGGAGTTATATATTATCCCCTCTGACTGGTCCAAATTACTGATTGTCCAAGTCTTCAAGAAAGACCACAAGAGAATCAGCCTGTTGAACGTTTTGGATTCTACAGCTACCAGACGTGGAGCTCGAAAACAGTGAATTCGAGGAGACCAAGTAAGTTTATGACGTGACCATGAGTGTTTCGACCAGATATACACTCTCAACCAGGTTCTGAAGCATAGAAACACATACCAACGCTCGACGGTAGCTGTACCTCGACCTGAAGGCGACAATCGACTCTGTCGACCAAGAAGTCATATGGCCGTCTTTTGCTGAAAAGACTAGCAAGTAAGTACAACTCTATGTTGAAGACTGTGCACTCAAACATTCATGGGTGCATTTCAGCCTATGATGAGTTGTTTACGTCGAATGGAGTCCGTCAAAGATATCCACTCTCTCCATTCTTATTAAACTTTACCGTAAACCTACTTATAAAGGTGTTCTTCCCTTCATCTAACATTACAAGGATTGATCCTGTAACTGGAGAATTTTCGGTAGGTCTAGAGTACGCAAAAGACACATGTTGACAAGATGCAGTCTTGTTGACATATTGGGTGGGAAGTTGATAAATTCTGGGATGCATCTCTAACGAACCAAATGGAAATTCTTCCTCCAGGACTGGTCTTTGCTGGTATATCGTTTAATAAATGGAGGTGAAATGCTTGAGCATCTTGACCACTTTACTTACCTAGGGGATCAAATCAATCACGGTGCTTCAGTGACCGACGAAAGTTATGGGAGGATACAATAGGCTCGAATGCCTTTCACCAACCTGAATCATTTATGACATCGCCGTAATATCCGATTGTCTACTAAGGGTGGATTGTACTGCGCTGCATTTCTACTAAGTAGATGTGGTACATAGTTGTTGAAGTTGGAGGGAATGAAGAGGCGTAAAAAAGTGTTCGACAGCCGCTGACCTATCAGCATAGCTGTTAGGTGTATGATTTTAGAAAGAAGAGGAAAGTCAGTTATTGAGGTTGTGAATCTTCATTGACTCAGGTGACTGGGACATGTGTTATGGATGCGTAGTCATCATCTACTTTGTTGCACAATGTTGTGAAAAGGTTAGAGGTTGTCGGACCTAAACGTGGCACCCGTTCACAGTCTTTGAATGTTGGGATGAGCCGTGTTGGTGTTTGCATAACAACAAAAGAAATCAGCTAGAGGCTAATAATAACTTGACTCAGAGTAGATCTCAATAGTGCAGATATATGCACACATTATCTTCATCGTATTGTTCACAATGAATTTCAATATTTTCTCATTCGTCCTTGCTCTCTTTTGATGATTTTCTATCACTTTTGACAACTTGGGCAGCTACGCAGTGGTACCAGGCGTTATGTTGGTATAACTTATCCATGTGGTAAACACTAAAATAGTATAGTTTGATGGATAACGTTTCGCACACAATTTATTGTCCATATTCGTATCATAAGTAACTCCACAACCTTGAGATATAGTTTACAAAGTTCTAATTCTCTCTCCTCCTTTATGATTGGGGGTAGTAGGTTTATCCATACATCTGAACAAATGTTGAGTCATTCCTACTGAACACGATTAGTGTTAGTTCGATAACTAATTAGGTTAGTTCCCAATACTGTCCCATTCTATCGTGTATAGTGGCATACAGAGCTTTAACCTGGATTCCTTCTGGATTTAGATCTACCAATCTTGAATAAGCCACGATCTGGTGCCTAATTTTACCAGGAGACTACTGAAAGGGATTTGCTACCTTGCTTAACTGGATCAGTAGGATCCTATAACCTGCAAAGCTCGTTTCGAAGTGAAGTTGTAGGTTTAAATGCCATTGAACTCCAAGTCTCGATGAGATTTCTTTATATCCATCCTGAGGTACTTTTCTTGAACGATAACACAACAGACGTTCTGGACTCTCTTCAGCGTTACTATGATACATCTACTAAACAAAATGAAATTGCAACTTACCACGTTTTACTTCTATTTTAGGAAGGCACTGCATCAATATGTTTCCCTCGTTCTCTGTTGTCATTCAAACTAACTAAGAAGGCTCCTGTATCTTACTGTTATCTAAAATGATCAGTTACTTCTGGTTTGAATAGGCTCTTACTCTTCCCTCTGCACTATACAGTGCCTTATTGTTTTTTTAGACAACGAGTCTTTAGCGTTTGTTGTAGTTGTCGTCAGATTTCAGGTATACGCCAGCTTTCCTGAATTCACTAAAGTTGAAGACTCAGTGACAATTTCCATAATAACCGAGTAACTGACGCAGAGGTGTACGCTGGTTTAACTTTCCTTCAGTATTATAGTTAACGTTTTACTCTCACATTTCCAGTCAGACTATCCATCACCTCCTTCGAACCGATGTCTTCATTAAACCCAAAATGACTTTTTTGTAAGTTTTTCAGATTTTATTCATTTCCTTTCTATAGTGCATGAAACATATGAAGACGAATATGGAAACTTCTATCTGATCAAATTTGACACCAATAAACATCGGCCAACTTGTATCGCATACTTATATGGGAAAAATAATCCCTTCTCAATATCTGGGATCTCTAATTAGTGGTGTTAGATGGCAGAATATAAAGGAAACCAGATGGGACTTTAGACACTAGTGTCAATAGTAAACATTCACACACGAATTGTTACTGAGACTTCAAATCGTCTCATCATCAAGATCAACATAGGTCCAGGCATTACTGCGTAACGGTCCAAGTTACTACACCTCATATCAGCACATCAAGTAACAAGGCAATAAAATGTAAGCTGAAGAGGGGGAGAAAAATTGGTCAAAGGAAGTAGTAAAAGAAAGAAAGATGTGAAAATGATGAGATTAAGTAGAGTGGTTAGGATGAAGATAATATGTGTATACATCTGCAACATTGACATCGATTCAGAGCTATATCACCTAGTTTTCAACTACTGGTTTCTCTTGCCCCACGAACCTCGACCAGATAGTCTGCATCACCCTACATGACTGAAACGAACAGTCAAGAACTTTATGCACTGATGCCGTTTTAGTCTGATCGCTTTGGGCATTTTTCCAGCCTGAACCTACTTCGCCAGACATTGTGCTACGAGGCAGATAGTGGTTTAGGATGCGTAACACATGTCCCAGCCACCTCAAACGACGAAGGTTCACAACCGCATCGACTGTATCACCTCTCCTGTCTACAACTTTACGCCTGACTTCTGAGTTACTCACGTGGTGACACCACGAAACACGACCTATACTATGAAGGCAACGGTGGTCAAGCGTCAGGAGCCTTCTTCTACCTTTAATGGTCATGTTTCAAAGCCATACAGGAGAAGAGAGAAGACTGGAGCAAAGTATTCTCGACCCTAAATAGACAATCGGATATCACGGCAGCGCCACAGGTGGTGTAGGTTGGCAAACGCCAACCGATCCTTATGAATCCGTGTAGAGATTTCGTTAGCCGCTGACCAACGCACCAAGGCTGATCCGAATTCCCAGGTAAGTGGAGTGTTCAGTGCTCCTAACCACTTCACTCGCTATTGTAAGTCGGTTAACGTTGAAGACCAGCAAGAATTTGCACTAGAGTGGCGAGAAACACATCCTAAACATTCTCAAATTGACGTTTACAGTGCCCAGGAGACTCTGTATCTTGTCAGTGTCTTCATCTAACAGGACTATATCATATGCGTATTCTAGGTCTACCGAAAATCCCTGTGTAAATGGATGTCGAGAAGGAGACCCTATAAGAATATTGATGATAAAATTGAATAGGAATGGAGAGAGTGGGCATCCTTGAAGGACATCAGTCGACGTACACAACTCACCCAATATCTCATCATAGGCTCCAGCACGCCTAAACGTGTTCGAAAAAAGAGTCTTTTTCTTCAATGAGAGACGATGCCACAAGACTTCTTGACCGATAGAATCGAATGCCGCGTTCAAGTTGAGAAATACAACCTTTGTCGGTAAGCGTGCCTGTATTCCAGAACCTGACGTCGGTTTGATAAAATGTCTAAGTAGCAGGGCCAAAAAGCTTATTAGTAAAACAGATCTACGACAGGAAATTAACTACATGAGACACTTTACTCATCAGTAATTACTCTCTCAAATTAACTGATAAGTTCCTTAGGAATCGTAGGAAAATATGACTAATATTATTAACACATGTGTTAACATTAATAGTGGCAATACTGTGAAGAGAGAATTCAAAACCTCTACGGCATTAACATACAAAGAAGGTACATCACAGACAAAATTACGTGGGATTCTTAGTGAGGCTCACCGGGATTACAGTGACATTTAAAGCTACAAACTCACTTAGAAATAAGCTTTATAGGTTAAGAGATCTGAGTGACCCAATTGAGCAGAACAATTTAGTTTACCAAATCCTTTGCAACAATTATGAGGCCACATACATAGGACAAAGTAGTCGACCAGGGTCAATTAGGCTATCCAGCTAGGCTAAAATTAATAGATCCAAGTGAGATAAGGAAGTTAGACAAAAGCTCATCTATAGTTATACACCCAATTACACACAACCACACAATAGGATGGGATGGGGCGAAAACCCTTAAAACTAACATACTAGGGGGAAGAGAGAGATTGATAACTGAATCTTTGTTCATCGAATGAACACCTAACAAATGCAACCGGAATAACTCAAGACGTGTTCTAGATAGATGGAAAATCTTGCCGTATCACAAAAGGGGGAGATACAATTAGGACTATATAAAGGATGATGTTGTTATTAGTACATCCAACTGATAAGTCCCAAACAGGACGAAACATGCGTCCTGAATTTCACTGTTAGTCACTAACGATCATTAATATATAAAGAATGTCTCAAAATTGACCAGATGGAATGACTATCAACAGGTATAGTGGTGTAAATGATATAAACATGTATTTCACATTGTTGTTGTTATCTATTTTTTCCAGAATGATATACCAGTGGCAGCATCTATGCTAAGAAACAGTCCATATGCATTCCATGGCTAAGTTGAGTAAAGGTTGAAAACACACAATAATTTGATAAACACAAACTGGCTATGATATAATATTGAAGAAAAACGAAAAAGTCAAATCAATGTAAAACGTGAACATTAGCTTGTATGATAACTGATTTACTTGTTCAGTTGTGTTTATGGATTAATTTTTATCATATTATTACCATTATTACTGTATTATTATTATTAGTCATAATACTTCAGTTTCACAGAAACTTAATTTATACATAAAGTTTGGCTTGAATGTTTGCTTACAATTTCTTACTGCGATAACCAAAATCATTATTATTACTGATAGTACTCAAAAGTATTAACTTATGACCGGTTGAAATATATAAAATAAATAATTCCGACAAAAACAAAAGAGGAATTGTATAGAAACCCCATTTCTTACTATTATTATCATTATATGTATCACTGTCATTTTATGCTGTTTTTGTCCTCCTCTACGTGGAGAATCTGATGTAAAATTTGTTGGTTGCTTTCGGTGAATGAGTAGTAGCTGGTTTGCTGGTGAGTGCCAAAAAGTATGAAAGCTAGATGATAAAGGCCTTCCTACCGGTTGCTAACGACTGGATCGTGATGCTGAGCCCCTTGACCTGATAGCCATATTGCAAAGTGATCGATCGAATTCAATCAGTACTTAGGAACATATGGGCATGAATTTGGTTAGCCTTCAGTGACTAATCAGTGTATCTAATCCAGTCTTACAAGACGTTAATCGTGGCCTGAGTAGCTCGGTGGTAACATCTCTGACTGCAGGACTGAGTGATGCGGGTTCGAATCTCAGGTGGGACGTCAGTTCTGTAGAGGTTCTAGATATGGATTGTTGCAGATTGTTAAAAAGCGCGAAACTGAGGTCCAGAGCTCCTACCAATCGCTCTAATCCAACTAAAAGATTCTAAAATGTTTTTCACCCATTAATCGGTTTGAAGATATGCATTTACTGTTTGTTCGACTTGAAGTCTCATCAAGCTTCATCAATTGTACGGTTAAATGTGAGTGGTAGTCAGCTTAATAACTAAGGCATTCATCAACAAGGTGAATCTGTAAACGCAAAGATACTGGTCAAACTGAGAGAAATATACTAAGTAATCACCTATTATGTAGAGGTTAGTGATATTTTTCTGACTGCCTAGACGTCAGTAAGTGGAGGGAGTTCAAATCCATTAAAATCAACTGACTAAACCAATAAGCCATAGTACTACAGAGAAACTAGCACTCATAAAAACATCTGAATGTGCATGATCCGATGTTTCATTGAAGTAAATTGAAACTGATCTATTCAGGCACTAACTGATCACCTGTATGATTTGCCTAGACGGGCGTTCATTAACCTGAAACCAGTGTGGAGGTCTTCTGCACTCAGCATAAAGCGTAAACAAGATCCGGATTTTAAACACCAATTCAGTCAAGTCAGTGCATCTATATGGTTAAGAGACTTGGTGCGTTACGAAAGCACTTCCAACAAACTATAGACATTCATTAACAACTGCCTACGCTCACTCGTTACTGAAGCTCAGATGGCCAGAAGGAATAAGTAACAAGGAACTCTGGCCTGATAACGAACCAACCAACAACCTATCACCCAAAAATATGCAGAAGGAAGACGAGATGGATTGGGCATACACTGAGAAGACCATTCGGGGACATCACGCGTCAGGTCAGGTGGAAACTAGATGCGAAACGACGAGTTGGGCGTCCGATAGTAAGAGTGACATGGAGAGATCGTGTGAGGAAAAAAATGAGAGCTGGGCTGTCATGGGCTAGGTTCAAAAGATTTCAGAGAACCGAGTGGAATGAAGTTGTGCTACTGAAGCGATACGTTCCACTAGGAACCCAAGGATAATAATACAATATAATAGTAATAAAACCAATAAGCCATAGTTCTACAGAGGAACTAGCACTCATTAGAAGAAACATCTGAACATGGATGATCCAATATTTCATTGAGTAAATTGAAAATGATCTATTCAGGCACTAACTGATCATCTGTGTGATTGGCCTAGACTAGTACTTCAAATAAGTAATATCGTTTGTAAGGACTTCTTTTAATGAAGATGAGACGCGCAAAAGATAAAATTCAACTTACATTTTTTAACTTCAGACTACATAGAATGAAATTCAACAGTAAGTAGAACAATGGCGTGTATAGTTAATGGAATATATCGTATGAAATAATTATATTCTTTATAAAGTGGCTGTCAATAGTAAAGTTTAACAAAGTGCATCAAAATTTTCAACTAATTTCTGTAAATTGACCGTATCCAATGGAATAAATATGAATTCTGTACCGTCAATACCCTAAGAAAATATAAAAAACAAACATTTAGTGGTTAAATATAAATGACATTGAAATAATGGAGAATATTTGTAGCTCAGGTGGATGATCTTGGTTGTATTGTGTTCTCTGAGGAACTGGAGCTTTTATCGTCTTTCTTCTAGACGACATCATCAGCAGTAACTTCAGTATGAAGTGAGATGTCAATATCTCTCTGTGAGTGATTTAGTAGTTTGCTCTGACGATATGGTCTGTAATTGGTTGTTTCCTTCTATTGTTGTGTCATTGATTGTATAGACATTCCTGTTGGCTGGCTGGCTGTTCCTCTGCTTCACCTCTCACCTTTCTGTCGTTTATCATTTTTCTTATTGGTTGATAGATTGGGTCTATGTCTGTACATCCATTGCCAAGCTTCTAGGAATTCTCTGATATTCTTTGTGTTTCCAATGTCCAAAATTTCTACATTGTCGAAATTGAATTCATGTCCATAATTATCCACATGCATTGAAATGAGTGACGAAATGTCGTGGCGTTTAATAGTCAATTGATGCTCATGTAGACGAAAGTGAAGAGGGCGACCACTTTGTTTGACTACAGTCATTGCAGTTGATTTTATAAATGATATTCGATTTGTCTTCTTTGCTTATTGCATCCTTTGGTCTCGATAATAAATAGTGTTTGGAAGGAATTTGTTGGTTTATAAGCCACACCAATTCCAAGTGCTGATGATATCGTCTAGTAAGACGATGAAAGCTTCACGATTAAACAACTCAGCTCCTCAAAGAACACAATACAATTATGAATGACATTATTAACACCTTGGATAAAAAGTACTTTAAGTTCACAAATACAACTTAACAGGTAATCGGTATAAATATGGCACTATTACGTAACAGTCTAAACTCTGCCACATCCATATATCAGCACAAAAAAAATGGAGGAATAAGGAAGAAGTTTACATCAATTACACCGATCTCTCAAATATATCACTTAGAGTCTTTAACACGAACAATTTCAGTTGTGAAACACTTTACAAAATCTACATTTTTGTAAGTGGTTTACACCGACACCTACAGACTTTATGAATTAGTGTTGATTTGATTTCACCATTCTTAACCCTATTTACTTGAGAGTAACAAATACTCATTTTGAATATGATAAAGAAGAATATACAAAGTCTTATATGAAATAGTCATTGAAAAAGTTATGAAGAAATGATTTTTGAGACTGCATTGATTGGTCATGGGACTGTAACCAATTTCATGTTGTCTAGTCCTGAGTGCAGACCGAATCCTATCGATCATATTTGCAATGTGGCAACCAATCTAGGAAGCACAGGATCACGGTGCATATTAGTAGATGCTAGTTGGTTGAAGGCAATTGGCAAGAAGCCCTGGACCTAGGTTTCATGCTTTTGGGCACTCGTCAGCAAGGTGCATCTGCAACCTCGATGGAACTGATGTCCTACCTGAGATTCAAACCCGCGCGAGAGTTTATTGCTGAAATATCAGCTGACTTTCATCCAAGCTGACGGAGGCATAAAGATCTAACACAACTAAAGCTTTAGTTACTTATTGAAACAAGGCATAGCTTTATAATTTGTGTTCCTCCGTAAAATCAACGGTATATAATTATTTTATTATTTGTCCCTTGGGTTCCTAGTGAAACATACCGCTTCAGTAGCACGTCTCCAGTGCACTCCTTACTCTGAAATCTTTTGAACCTGGCTCCACGACTGCCCACAACCTCTCATTTCCTCCGTACATGATCTCCTCCATGTCACCCTCGGTCACCAAACTCGTCGCTTCCCATCGGGGTTCAACTCTACGGCCTGGCGCATGATGTCCCCAGTCGGACTTCTCAGTGTATGCCCAATCCATCTCCACTTCCATCAACTGCATATTTGTTCAGCGATAGGTTCTTGGTTGGTTCGTTGCCAGCCAGCCAGAGTTCCTTGTTACTTATTCTAATCATTCTGGCCATCTGATCTTGAGTAACGAGCCAGTGTAGGTAGTTGTTGATGAATGTCTGTAATTTGTTGGAAATGTTTTTCATAACGCGCCAAGTCTCTCAACCATACAGGGGCACTGACTTGACGTTGGTGTTGAAAATCCGGATGTTGTTCCACATGCTGAGTGCAGAAGATCTCCATACTGGTTTCAGGCTAATGAAGGCCTGTTTTGCTTTTCCAATTCTGACTTTGACATCTTCGTCTGTCCCACCTGTAGTTGAAACAGTGCTGTCTAGATAGGTGAAGGACGTTATTTCCTTTAGGTTTCTCCCGTTGGTGGTGATTGGAGTTTGTTGTTGTTGGTTGGGTATCTTCATCACATCTGTCTCCTTTATATTCACTTGAAGTCCCGCTTTCGCTGCCTCTTCTGCCAACTTGTTAGTTTTCCAACGGTATATAAAGTAATTTAAAATTAGGAAATCATCTATGTTACCCCCATTTCAATCTCAGATTATGGAGATCTAAGGATAGGAAACCCTGCTTGATTTATGTTTTGTGCCTGTTGACATCTATCAGTAAGGGAAATCTACAATCATGGGGGAACAAGTGTTTTGTCGGTAATTCAAACATACGCTAATCAATACTAAAACCACAGAGGTACTCGGATTACCACTGACACTTTGTAAGATTGAATGGTGTACACGAATCGACCAGCACCAGTGGGACAACACATGTAGCTAGCTAATAATCAGTAGCCATCGAAATTCATCGATCAAGTTTTGAAGTATTGCCACTGAGTACAGTTACAAAACACTGAGTTGTACTGTATTTGGGGCTGGATGATTGAAATCATTCGATAGGAATCCCTGTCTGATCCAGGTTTTGTGCTTCTTGGCACACATCAAAAAGGCCTATATCTGTAACCATGATAAAACTGATGTTCCCCCGAGTATTATGTAAGCCACTTATACTTAGGACGTGACACGTCTTCAGAAGATGGAATAAGTCAACGGACAATTCTGTTAAAATATGATGGGAAGAGCTCAGGAATGCTACACTGAAAGATCTTGGTTATCAGTGACTGAAGATTCAAGATCTTGGAGAATTCCTTTGACAGGTTCAATAACCTTCGGTACTACTTACGCATAAAGGCAGGGGAATAGTGAACAGTTATGTCTGGGAATACAACGATAAAAAAATGTATCCGTCGACAATCCTCAATTCTGCAATCTCAGTTTTTCACCTCCCACACTCAAAATTTACTTCTACTCCAGATATTTTAAAAAGATCTCTAACAAATCAAAAACTTCTCAATGCTCCGCAACTGAGTTACAAGGTGGATATGGAAGTCAGCTAGTCAGACAGACAAAACCAATGTAGAACCTCGCATACAAGTGCATCCATTTTAGGCTGTCCCACTTCATAGTAGTATTCAAAGGACAAGTAAATAGAAAAAAACTGATATCAGAGTAAGCAAAAGTGCATAGTAATTCGCTTGGTTGTGGCTAACAAAGGAATCTAGCATGCACGTTTCATCCTATTTGGGACTCGTCAGCTGGATGTACCTGCACCCTAATGAGTGATGTTATTCCTACTGAGACTCGTACCTATCGCTTCAAACCCCATAGTGGATAACGTCTTGGCGTTTGAAACGATGGATATGGGGTTCGAGTCTCAGTGGAAACAATACCACTCATTAGGGTGTAGATACATCTAGTTGACGAGTCCCAAGTAGGATGAAAAGCACGTCCTGGATTCTTCTGTTAGCCACAACCAAGCAAATTATCATAATTAACATTCAGGCAATTATCAAGGCATTCATATAGGAGTCCATATACCAGTAGAGATCAAACAATTCGATGCAATAAAACAACAGAGAATTACAAGTATGTCAATAAATAGTAAAAGTCCATAGGATAAGAAAGAATTTTTAAAATGAACGTTAGTGGGAATTTTCAAGCTTTAGGAGATATCAGAGAGTGAATACATTTACGCCACTGTAACCAATTTATAACCACATCATCAAGAATCAGTTCTCAGCCTTTGATTCTCTATCATCTTGGAGACTTCAGCTAGAGAGTAACAAGTTTATTTACAGGGTTACAGCGTTGATTTGAGCCGTGAAATCAATAATTTGGCAAGTTTGATAATATAGCTGAAAAACTGACCAATCACAATGGTGAATAAGTGTATGTATGCTATAGTATAGTGTGAAGTATTATACTGTACCAGTTTCTACATTAACTTGTCTGTATATCAGGAAAAGATCATGTTCAACAGCGTTAAAAGTGAACAAACCGAATGGATTGCATGATATCATCTTGATTAACCGTTAAACTGGCAGATTGGAAACAAAATGTGTGCTGAAATATCACATAGATATCAAGAATAAGAAGAAGTAAGCAATAATCTGAATGACTGGTACACATAATATACAACTCCAGATACACTGTGTCATTTCCCCTTAACACAACTATGAGACTAAAAATAATCAGAAGTAATACTGAAAGATAAGAAGAAGACATTATGTTATATATTCCAAGATTATATAACACATACACCTGACTAACAATTAACTTCGTACAAAAGATCCATTAACCCCCCCCCCCTTCCCCCTGAGACGAAAAATAGAAGAAAAACTAAACTTAAGGGAAGAGTTTATTACCTCCAAAGAAGAATAGTCTATTAAACCACCGAAACACGTGTGTTTATATGCCTGACATCTGACCTTGTTCAAAATTTGAAATATTACCAGAATAAAAGTAAGTATCAACCAATCAGCGAACTACCTAGAAAATGTGAAGTGATGAACTATTGGTTATACCATAAAAATGGCGCGAAAATGACAATTTAAAAATGTTTAGACTAATAAACAATATTTGATGCGAATCTGAAATCTTTCAACATAAAATAGAGAAAATAGACACAGAAATACAACTAACTTTTTTTATTTTAATTAACTTGTGATCACGGAATTCAGTTAATTGAGCTTTTAAAGTTGCTTCATTACTTGTTAAAAAGGCATCTCGACAACGCCAGTATAAATCCTCCATAGCAATACCTTAAATATAGCAAAAATCATAAAAAAAAACACTGATTTACACAAGGTAACATAACATAACAAGAAATTATACTATTATTTTTCCCTTGGGTTCCTAGTAGAACATAGGAATTTAGTAGCACGTCTCCATTGCACTCTCTTCTCTGCAGTCTTTTCAACCTCGTTCCACTACTGCCCATAAGCTTTCATTCTTTCCTCACATGATCTCCTCCAAGACACTCTCGCCTCGGACGCCCAACTCGTCGTTTCCCATCGGGGTTCCACTCGAGTGCTGGCCTGGCGCGTGATGTCCCCAGTCGGACTTCTCAGTGTATGCCCAATCCATCTCCACTTCCATCAACTGCATATTTGTTCAGCGATAGATTCTTGGTTGGTTCGTTGCCAGTCAGCCAGAGTTCCTTGTTGCTTATTCTAATCATTCTGGCTATATGAGCTTCGGTAGCGAGCGTAGGCAGTTGTTGATGAATGTCTGTAGTTTGTTTGAAATGCCTTTCGTAACGCGCCAAGTCTCTTAACCATACAGGAGCACTGATGTTGGAACCACATATTACTGACTTATTTCTCTCAAGTCTGGAGGCTAGTAACATTAGGAAATTGATAGAACAGGGAGAACTGTACCAGCGATACATGGATGATCTTTTTACTGTATGTAAAAGTAAAGTAGAAGCAGAAACCCTGCTGAAGAACTTTAACTCTTGTCACGTAAACGTCAACTTCACGGTTGAACACGAAGAAAATGATCATATCAACTTCCTAAATGTTTCTTTAGTAAAAAGGAATGATGGATGCATAGAAAAATCCATCTACTGAAAGCCTTCATAGTCTAGACAATATCTCCTAATGTCCTTATTCAGAATGAAAAAATTTCACCAAAACCCTATTTGATAGGGCAAAGAAATTTGCTCTGAGAGTACCATTGATTATGAAATGAAAAGATTGAACTATATCCTAGCTAAAAATGTCTACCCTCAAGGCTTTGCCAATAAATATTCGAAAAGTAGACAGTGCGAAACAGCAGTTCTCACGCCTCCAAAAAAGTCAGTATTTATTAAACTACCTTTCAAAGGAGACGATGTCTTAGAAGTAGTTAAGCGGAGGCTAGATAAGGTAATCAAAAGAACTTACTACGCAATTAAGCTAGTACTTCTGAGTAACACCAGGCGGGTGTTGCAGTATTCAGTAAAAGACATGACTCCAATCCTCGACACATCTAAGTTTTTATTATTAGTCCCTTGGGTTCCTAATGGAACATAAGGCTTCAGTAGCACGTCTCCATTCCACTCTGTTCTCTGAAATCTCTTGAACCTGGCTCCACGACAGCCCTAAGCTCTCATTTCCTCCTCGCACGACCTCCTCCATGTCACCCTCACTCGGACGTCCAACTCGTCGCTTCCCATGGAGATTCCACTCGAGGGCCTGACGCGTGATGTCTCCAGTCAGCCTTCTCAGTGCATGCCCAATCAATCTCCATTTCCTTCTGCATATTTGTTGCGTGATAGGTTCTTGGTTGGTTCGTTCCCAGAGCACCTTGTTGCTTATTCTTTCTGGCCATCTGATCTTCAGTAGCGAGCCAGCGTAAGCAGTTGTTGATGAATGTCTGTAGTTTATTGGAAATGCCTTCGTGACGCGCCAAGTCTCTGAGCCATACAGAAGCACTGACTTGACGTTGGTGTTGAAAATCCGGATCTTGTTCCACATGCTGAGTCCAGAAGATCTCCACACTGGTTTCAGGCTAATGAAGGCCTGTTCTGCTTTTCCGATTCTGACTTTGACATCCTCGTCTGTCCCGCCTGTAGATACATCTAAGTATATATATATATATATATATATATATATATATATATATATATATATATATATATATATATATATATATATATATATATACATCAATTCAAATGTACTTGTGGAAGCAAATACATAGATCGTATGGAAAGCCATCTGTCTACTCACATGGTTGAGCATTTACCTAAATGGTTGACGCAAACGGAGTCAAAAGTCCCAAGGAGTTCGATTACTAAACACCTAATGCATTATCGATATGACGTTGACGCCACTGAGACCTTTTCGGCTGTCAGTAGACAGAGGAATAAGAAAATTCTTGCAATCATAGAATCATGTATGATTATAGTTAGTAAACTTAGCCTATGTGTACAGAAAGAGATAGTAATCACCTTGAATCTACCATGTTAAGGGTGTTGAAGTATTTTATTAGATCCCATTAAGAAGCAATCCTGTAAGTATTCCTTTAAAGATACATTTGAAATAACCAAATGCCTTAAGGATGTCAACATAAAAATCAAATTTATGTGTTCATTTAACATTTACTCATGTATTCATCAATGTCCCTTTGGTTAAGATAATTGACATTTTATATGATTACATTTCTGTGCAAAATTTTTCGATACCCATTTACCTTGGATCATTTAAAAGAGCTGTTACTTTTATGTACATGTAATATTCAATTCACCTTTGAGGGTGAACATTTCCATCAGGTTGATGATATTGCTATGGGAAGTCCTTTAGGTGTCCCTCCTAGCTGACATATTGATGTCACATGTGGAGAACTTAGCCGAGAACCTAACAGACCAAGCCCATCTGTATCGAAGATATGTTAACGATATCCTGATCATTTGTGAAAACTCAAATCAGTTTACCTCAATTATAAACCGATGGAAGATGACTGCTGTTCTTGGATATATTAATTATTCGGCTGCAGGATGGATCCATAAAACGATCTACAGAAAACCTACATAGACAGGGCAATATCTGAACTATCATACTGTTAGTTAGGTGCTTATTCAGGAGAATTCAAAGAATATGCACAGAGGATACTTTAGAAGATGAAAGAGGAACACTGATTGAAATATTGTTGGAAAATGACTATCTATCAAAATTCATTAGGCAGAGGAAAATAATCAGAGCGCCAAAACAAGATCTTCAGTTTGTCCCAAAGAAGGATATTTTTATCAGTCTTCTGTACAAAGGTGACTCTTATGGCGCAATCCTTAGGCAGCAGAGACTTAACGCAGCTGTTAGAAGGACATACTGTGCAGCCAAGGTTTGATTAATAGAAACCACGAAGCCCGTATATTCCCCCAAATCCTTGTGCTTGAACACAGTGCCTCTAATCACTAAGTCGATGAATGCACAGAATTCTGCAAACAATTCTCTACTCACTTTCATTTCACCTAGCGCTTCTCAACCCATAGTTAGTTCTCTTCCTATGTTATCCGCTCCCAGTTTGGCATTTATATTACACCACCGATTGGAATTTTGCTATCACCAACTGGAATGGGGTCCTGTCCAGTGCTCATCGCAGTTGTCTGTAGAACTCCTCCTTCTTCTCTTCATCTGCATTATTTATTGGCGCATAGCATTGAACGATTGTGACGTTCCTTCCTTTCAAGTTGAATCTTGCTGTTTTGATCCTGATGCTGGAGGAGATTGGTTCCCACTGTATGAGACCCTTCGACGCTCTTGGGAAGGGGATATCATGATAGCCACTCCAAAACTCAGTATGCTCGTGGTTGTCGTCTGGGTGACAATATCGGAGTAGATTATTGACTCCCCTCCAGTTGATAGTTTGGAGATTTCACTTCCATTCCATCTACTTTCGTAAATTCCAAGCACTTCAATGTGATACCTTCTCATCTCCTTTGCAATCTGGGCTGCCTTACTGGGTTCAGACATCGTACGGACATTCCATGTCCCCACGTTTACTTTCGCTTTCATCGAGAGAAGACACATCGGCCAATTTGCTTCCCGAAGGCTTTCACCAACCGGCATAATTTCATCTCTCCGTTTACAGCGAGGAATAAGTTTGTTTTCATTTTCTATATTTTGTTTGTGCTTCGAAGTTTCTTTAGCGGTTGGATTGGTTTTAGGGGGTAGGATTCTTAGCCGTATCCCCAACCTTCCCTCTTTACCCGGGTTTAGGACCGGCTAGTAAGTAGTGAACTAGTTAACCAGGCGAGGGTGAATAAATATGATTACATAACTATATTCAATAGTAATTCAGAACAGAATATTACTGAAAAGACATTCACTAATGATGTATAGATTAGAAAGAATTCCTGTGAATGAAATATCAAACAGTTAACACTCAACTAAAAATTAACAAAATGGTTAGTGAGTGGCGCATAAATTCTTATCACTGGATGTGAAGCTACTCTTCCCTCGGTTACAACTGTGTGATGATATAGGTAACGATTAACTTATCTAGAGGTAGTATTCATCACGGATTAACACCAATTGGGGAACCATTGAAAACCTGGGAACACGGGACAAACTGTTCCCTTCTAGTATGGGACCCCTGAGTAGTAAGCACTCATGACTCGGCTAGGAGGGTGCTTAACTTATCGTCATGCAACACAACCACGCAAACAAACATGCACATGTTTATCTACTTGCATGCAGGTTACTAAAATGTTCATAGGAGAGAAGTTAGGAGACTATAGCAGGGATTCGTGATAAAATGAGTGACTTTCATTTAAACACCACCCTAAGAACTGTTGAAATGACCAATTAGGTATCAATATTTTGACAGTAACCTTTTGGAAACATGAGAAACCTGACTGGCTATTTTAATAATTGTTAAGGTGATCTTTTAAGCCATTCGATAAGACCAATGTACTTACCATTTATAACAGTTTTATCTTCTTGATATGGTGTCTCCAATTGATGCTCAACAATCATACGGAATATATCACGAGCATTCTGTGTAAGTGATGCAGTCACTTGACGAAGACTTGCAAACATTGCACCAGCACTTCCAGTACTACCTGATCCATCTCCAATACCACCAAGAATAGTCTGTAAGATTTGACTATTTGCATAACTACTCTCTTCAGTATAATTATAAAAATTTGTACAATCTTCCCAGATCCATGAGAATCGAGCTAATTCATTATGCGACCATACTGTGAACAAGTAACAGTGAAAACATACAAAAACGCTGAGCATTTAGGAAAAATGAGGGGGGGAATAGACGATACACATATATAATAACTTGAAGATTGATACATTATACTACGACCACTATCGTATGTGGCTTGTAATCAGTAATTAAGGATATTATACTGATTCCCGTTAAGAATGCTTTAAGTAATAGACATTCAACCTACAAGTGTGAAAGTCATGAAGAACCTACAGGATACAAATCACTGGTTGGCTCAGGTTCGAATCTCTAAAAAGATATCAGTTCCTTCGAAGTTGCAGATACATTATGCTGGAGAATACTAACAAGCTCAGAACTTACGTTTGGAGCTTCCTACTGATGATTTAACATTGATGAAATTAAACCGAAATGACTAGCCTCCTAGCTTAAGAAATCATCGGTAAATTTTGATCTCCGCTTAGAATTAGATAACCTGAAATCAATATAGAGCTATTAGTTGGATGCTTAGCATGAGGTAAATGAGAAGGAATTCAAATGTGTACCTTAGATATTCAGCTTGCAAATTGAAGTAAGAGACACAAAGAAATCAAAACTATGCGACCCAGCATAATTCTGTATTCATCCAAGATTTAGATGGAAATAAAGCATAAACACATGACTATGCGAGCCATGTCAACGGTAAGTGAAGGGTACTAGGCAAGAAAAGAAAGTCAGTTAATGACATCGTGAACTTTAATCGACTGAAGTGGCTTGGACATCCATTTCGCACGCCAAGACATTACCTAACTTGACGTACTATAGGAGGGTGGAGTGCGTTGGAAGAAGGTTCAGGGTGTCCAAAAGAAGAAGTGGGACTAGTCCATGAAGTCAGGTGTTTGACCACCACTGCCTTCGTAGCACAGGCCGGGTTCCATGGTGTTACCACGTGAGTAACGCAGAAGTTAGGTGTAGAGTTTAAGGTAGGAGATGCGGTTGTAAACCTTCATCCACTGAGATAGCTGAGACATGTGTTACGTATCCCAAACCACCATCTACCTCATAGCACGATGTTAATCGAAGTAGGTTCAGGCTGGAAAAAGGCGTTCAAGTCAAAGTCGAACAGCTAAACTATTGAAGAAAATCTACAGCAAAACCACTTGAATTAAACTCTATCATGTTCCAATTCTGAGAGTAATCAACTAGCCTTTAAACAACAAACCTATAGGAACAAATTTAACAGAATATTAAAGGGAAATAAGATACAATAACCATCTATTGTTAACAGGACAATTTTAATTTATTTTAAACGTTGACGTTCGGAAGTCAAAATGCACTCCGTCACCTTGTGCACATTCGTGCAGTAGGTATTGGGATATGCCTATTATGTTAAGGTTGATGATACTGCCTAGTGGGGGTGAGGTTCGAACTCACCTATTGAGATTCGGGCAACCAGGTAGCATCATCAATGGTTCTCACACAATAGGTATGGCTCATTGCCTACTGTACAGATGTCTTTTTTGAACTAACCCTTAAAATAGTGCGAATATTGTAAATAATGAAACTTACATATAGGCATATTGACATGATCTAATGAAGCGATTAAATGAATATTTGGTACTTCCGCTAGACGAGCTAAAACAGCTTGAGTTTTACCATTCCGTAATCCTGGACCATCAATATTGTTGAGAAGAAGAAATAGAGGTGACTTTCTAGCTTCTAAATTATACAGAAAATGTAAATAAAAGTCACTTATTCAGTTCCAAAGAAAGTAGACTATAAGAAAAAAAAACCATACAAGGAGAATATGATTTCATGGAACAATAAAGTACGCGATACTGAGTGATGATAGAGGGTGAAGTGAGAGTTTGGACGGATTCGAACCAGCGGCCACCAGATTTCTGGCCCAATAGTCTACCAGCTAAGCTACGAGGTCCAAAAATATACATGTAGCGGAAACCTGGCGGCCGCTGGTTCGAATCTGGCCGCTGTCAAAATTTTCATTTCACTTTCAATTATCAGCGAGTATCAATACTGGTCTGTCAAACCACAGCCATCTCAGATAGTCAGAATGATAACTGGAAACTATGAACCATTGAATTCCGACCCACTGGCAACGTGTTGGCCACGGAACCTGAAGGTCCTAGGTCCGTATCTCTAGCGGGTTCATGGGTACATACTGTTGAGGAGTCCAATACTAGGATGAAACAGCTAGCCAATGGCTCCCAGATTTTCGATGGTTCTCAAATTGATGTCAGTTCGTAATGAATACTACCTTAAAATTAAAATCTCCATTCAACACAAAAATGAGATATGTTGTATTCGGATAAATCTCAGAGTTTTTGAGATAAGAAATTATTCCAACCTTTTGAACAGAATTCTAGTTCGAGCTTCTTGAGGGAAATAATTAAAATCAACAGGTCAAAAATCGTGTAGTTCATCTCATTTACACTGGATTATGATTGTTTTTCAATAGGGTTACAATCATTCACACTGTTGTGCATTGAAATATACGATATATGAATGTAAGCGTGTATGTATGTGTGTATGTGCTGTATTTCACACATCGGTTATTACGAAATAGTAGACATTATAGGCGTCATACCAACGTCAAGTCAGTGCTCCTGTATGGTTCAGAGACTTGGTGCGTCACGAAAGGCATTTCCAATAAACTACAGACATTCATCAACAACTGCTTACGCTGGCTCGCTACTGAAGATCAGATGGCCAGAAAGAATAAGCAACAAGGAACTCTGGGAACGAACCAACCAAGAACCTATCACGCAACAAATATGCAGAAGGAAATGGAGATTGATTGGGCATGCACTGAGAAGGCCGACCGGGAACATCACGCGTCAGGCCAGTTGCTCGAGTGGAATCCCCATGGGAAGCGACGAGTTGGACGTCCGAGTTGAGGGTGACATGGAGGAGGTCGTGCGAGGAGGAAATGAGAGCTTCTGGGCTGTCGTGGGACCAGGTTCAAAAGATCTCAGAGAACAGAGGTCACTGGAGACGTGCTACTGAAGCCATATGTTCCATTAGGAACCCAAGGGACTAATAATAATAATAATAAAAAAATAGGCATCATAATTGTCAGTGTAAGAAGAAAATGTACTTGTTTTTTAAGTATATGAAACAAAATATGTCCATTTTGTCTGCGTTGGTGAGACTAGGCTTTTTCTGTTTCCTCTTTGTTACTTGAATGCCACAGAATGAAAACTATGGATACAAATTATAACACATTGTCTATTGTAAATGATAATAATGACAAATTAGCGTAAATAAGAATAGAATAAAATGCAACACTACTACTAATTTACATAAACTATGCTAAGATTTGTTTGGTTTCTCTTACGTCGAGTTTTCATATTATTTGTCCCTTGGGTTCCTAGTGGAACATAGGGCTAGAGTAGCCCGTTCCCATTTCGCTCTCTTCTCAGCAATCTTTTTAGCCTCTCTCCACGACTGCCCACAACTTTTCACTTCTTCCTCACACCATCTCCTCCATGTTACTCTCAGATGTTGAACTCATCATTTCCCATTTGGCTTCCACTCAACGGTCTGGTGCGTGATGGCCTCAAACCGTCTACTCAACTTATGTCCAATCTAATCCATCCTTCTGCATATTTGTTGAGCGATAGCTTCTTGGTTGGTTCGTCACCAGCCAGCCAGAGTTCCTTGTTGCTTATTCTTTCTCACCTTCTCATCTGATCTTCAGTATCCAGTGAGCGTAGGCGGCAGTTGTTGTTGATGTATGTCTGCGGTCTGTTGGAGACTCTTTTTGTAACGCGACAAGTCTCCGAACCATCACATAGAAGCACTGACTTAATTGACTGACATTAGTGTTGTAAATCCGGATGTTGTTCACGCTTTATGCTGAGTGCAGTGCAGTAGATCTCAACACTGATTATTTCAGATTAATGAAGGGCTGTCTTGCCGTCTTTCCCATCATGGTTTCGACATTCTTATCTGTGCCACCTGTAGTTGAGACGACGCTGCTATGTCTAGGTAAGTGAAAGAGACAACTTCCTTTAGGTTTCTCCCTTTGATGGTGATTGGTGCTTGTTGTTGTTGGTTGCGTATCTTCACCACATCTGTCTTCTCTACGGTCACCTGAAGTTAGTCCCGTCTTCGCTGTCTCGCCTCGCCTCTTCTGCCAACTTGTTAGTTTTCGCTTGTATATTTTCGAGTTTGTGCGACATTAGACATAAATCGTCATCATCATTGGCGAAATCGAAACCTTCTAGGCTCTTTTGATCTGCTAAACAGCATATGCCTATCTTCTCGCTCCTCACAGTTTCTTGCATGACCCAGTCCAGTCCAGTTGACCACAATCAGGAAGACTGACAGTGAAAGTAGGTGGCAACATTGTCTTACTTGTGTCTTCACTTCAAAGGCATTACTGAGCTTCCCATTGTAAATCGCTGAGAATGTAGCATCGTATAGGGTATAGCTGCTGTTGAATGAGGTTGATAAAGGTTTGTGGCACTAAAACCATACTGTTGAAGCAACTGCCAAATTACTTCTTAGTCGACACTGTCAAAGGCATTTTCAAATCGAAGAAGTTGAGGCAAAGATCCAGTTGACTGCCATTCTATGCTCTGTTCTATGATGATGCGTAGTGTAGCGTTGCAATTTGATATGCACATGATTTGTTTTCCTGAAACCAGCCAGCCAGTTTGTTCCGATCCTAATTTTCAGTCTCTTCAGGATGATGCAACCTAATACTTTGTTTGGGGTGGACAGGAGGATGATTCCGTGCTAGTTCTTGCAGACTTAGGTGACCCTTTTTGGGGAGTCTGACAAGCAGCTCTAACTAAGCAGTCGACATCTTTCCCAAACGGCTCAATCAGTCAGCCAGGGACTTCATCAACTGGTACCGCGTCTTGGTTTGGCCAAGACTTTGGCCCTCACACTCATTTGTCTGAATGTTTCCCCTACATATACTCCAGCACAATCTGAGCAATTTATTTCATAGACATGCATACATATGTAATGTAGAATGAACCATCAATTCAGGTGTAACCACATAGCAAGGCTGACAGGTCAAATGGTAATAGAAGAAGTAGGAGTGGATATACAAATTAAATGGGTTGAAGATAGGTGACGTAATTAATTACAGGAATAAATACTATTGCAGTTTAAAGAGTCAAGTGGATTTCAGGTAGAAAAATAACGATGATAATAAAGATAATTATCATTTTGGCTATCTGAGATAGCTGTTCTTTGGCAGACGAGTGTTGATATTGGGTGATGATTGAGGGTAAAATGAAAATCCGGACCGGGGCGGGACTCGAAGCAGTGATCACCAGATTTCCGGCCAGGTGCTCTACCAACTGAGCTATGAGGTCTGATTTTCACTTCAATCATCAAGTTTTCTACACGACTATTACTTCTCTAATTCAGTTAGATTTCGATTGGAAGCCAGTATCAGTATGATCAAGTGGTAGTAACGTGTCATGAATTCACATGGTAATCGGTCAAAACCCCGCTTGGTGATTGAGGTGAAAATGAAAACCTGGTCAACAGTTGAACCTTGTCACTCAGCTGGTAGAGCACCGAGTTGAGAATCTGGTGATCACTAGTTTGAATCCAGTCGGCGTCCAAATTTTTATTTCATCCTCAATCATCTCCAAGTATCAATAATGATAACGTTTAAATTGAGGTGAGAAGTGAATCGGTTAGATTATGTGATTCAGATGAGGATAGTTAATAGTCATTTAAAACGCTATCATAAGAAAACCAGGTGTGCATTCAGATGAATTTGATTATAACAATGGTAGCAGGAAGAAGGTTAGTTAAGCGAAGAAAATCAGGAACGGAAAACCGAAACATAAGATAGGGGCAAAGATCAAGTATAGAAGAGTGAATATGCTTCGATGACGTTGCAATTCCTATCATGGTAGATTCAAGTTGACTGTCATTTCCTTCTGAATGCAAACGTTAGATTTGATAACTCAAATCACATAAGCCTCCGTAACTGCAAACAATTTCTTACTCTATTTTCCACTGATAAGGCATCAACATCATGCCCATAGTCCATTAGGTGTTTCGATATCCATCTGATTGGGGTCTTCTTTTTAACACGCTTCAATCATTTAAGTAGATAGGTGTTCAACCATTCATTCAAGTAGACAAAAGTTTCTCTTCCTTACAACCCATCCATTTGCTTCTACAGACATGATCAAATTGATATATGTATTCTAATGTAATAAGGATCAGAGTCCTATCATCCACTGGTTATTGCATTACTCATTTAGTGGTGCCTAGAAACATTAAGTTGGCAGCATATCAAGTTTTCATTTAACTATTTATAGTGTCACAAGTGGATCATCATTCAGTTTACACTCAGTAGTTAAATAATGACGTATTTCACCAAGAGATCTTATGGTATTGTACTCCAGTGTTAAAGATGTTATACGTCTGCATTACTGAGAATTCTCATATTAGGATAAAACGGTAGTTCATTCCTTCCTGGTATCTAATAGTTCTCTGACTCATGTGTAATCCATAGATGTATTCAATTTTAGAGACGTAGACAAAGAAAAATGACAAAGTAAAACCTACTTACATAAAAATCTGTCAGAAGTATACTTATTTTCTTTTTGTCTTACTTAAACTTGAAACTGTAATATAACAACGAGTGAAAACAAAAGTTGGAAAATATATAATGACGAAAAGTTAGATTTAAGAGACAGGATTACACCCGAACCACCCAGCATATACACGAAGTCTCCATTAGGTGGAATATAGTCCTACTCACAGATTTACCGTTATATTCCAGTGTTGACACAATCGCCAATTTGCTATAACTTTGTATGGAGCTGGCAATTGACTCAAGCACGTAGTTCTATCAACCTGACCTTGAATGTGATTTGTCTCGAATATTCCTATCCAGTCTCGTATACTCAACGTTGAAACATGTTTTATATAGTTCCAGTTTTCTATCCACCTTTTTGCTATGTGTAACAAGATTTTCCATATATTCAGAAGAGGTCCTGAGTCATTCCAGTTGCGTGTATTGGTGTAAACTCGATAAACAAAAATTCAGTTATCAATCTCTTTCTCCACCCTTCTATGTTAGTTTTAAAATTTTTTTACCCTGTCCCATCGTATTCTGTGGTTGTGTAGTGTAGTCACATGCATACCTATGATTGAGCATTCTTCTAAATCTCTTACCTTACTAGGATCTACCAATTTAACCTAGCTAGGGGTTTTGTGCTTGGATAGCCTAATTGACCCTGCTCGACACTTTGTCCTATGTATGTGGCTTCATAATTGTTACAAAGGATTTGGTAAACTAACTTATTCTGCTCAATTGGGTCACTCAGATCTCTTAACCTATAAAGCTTATTTCTAAGCGAGTTTGTAGCTTTAAATGTCACTGTAATCCCGGTGAGCCTCACTAAGAATCCTACGTAATTTTGTCTCTGATGTACCTTCTTTGTATGTTAATGCTGTAGAGGTTTTGAATTCTCTCTTCACAGTATCGCCACTATTATTATTACTAATGTTAACACCTAGGATGTCAAAGCCAGGATAGGAAAGACAGCAAGATAGGCCTTCCTTCATTAATCTGAAATAATCAGTGTGGAGATCTACTCCACTCCAATCAGCATAAAGCGTGAACAAGATACGGATTTTCAACACCAATGTCAGTCAAGTCAGTGCTTCTGTGTGATGGTTGATAGACTTGGGGTATTACGAAAAGCATTTCAAACAAACTGCAGACATACATCATATTACATCAACAGATGCCGCCTACGCTCCCTCACTCGATACGGAAGATCAGAGTAAAAGGCGAGAAAGAATCAGCAACAAAGACCTCTGGCCTGACAACGAACCCATCGCCCAACAGATATGTAGACGAAAGTGTAGATGGATTGGGCATACACTGAGAAAACCATTCGGAGACATCACACGCCAGGCCCTCAAGTGGGACCCAAAAAGGAAATGACCTGTTGGTTCTTCGAGGGTGCATGAGGAGGAAATGAAAGCTTCTGGGTAGTCGTGGAGCCAGGTTAGAAAGACTGCACAGAAAGGAGTGAAATGGCGATGTTCTATTGAGGCCCTATGTTCCACTGGGAACCCAAGGGACAAATAAAATATGAAGAGCTAACACCTGTGTTACTAATATTACTCATATATTTCTACGATTCCTAAAGAATTTATTGATTAATTAAGCAGGGTAATTGTTGATGAATAAAGTGTCTATAATGTATCTGGTTTCTTGTCTTAGATCTTCTATTTCACTAGTAAGTTTATCGAATCAACACCGAATACATGCAACAAGAATGACTCAGAAACCGTCCCAGATATATGGAAAATCTTATTACCCATCTCAAAAAGAGGGCGAAGAAATTATGGACTCAAAATTGTGTAGTTATCTTGATATAGCCTATAGGCAATATATGTTTCCGAAACGAAATCCAATAAACAGCAGTGTGGTTTATCTAATAGATCAATTGAAACGGAATTATATTCTATTTCAGTGCACAAGCTTGCCGCTTATAGGATCTCATTCATCTGTACACACAACCAAATTACCTGACTAACTATTATTTATTATTATTATTTTTCCATTGGGTTCCTAGTGGAACGTACCGCTTGAGTAGCACGTCTCCATTCCACTTTCTTCTCTGCAAACTTTTGAATTTGGCTCCATGACAGCCAACAACCTCCCATTTCTTCCTCACACGATCTCCTCAATGTCACCTTCACATCGGACACCCAACTCGTCGCTTCCCATCGGGGTTCCACTCTACGGCCTGGCGCGTGATGTCCCCAGTCGGTTTTCTCAGTGTATGCCCAATCCATCTCCACTTCCTTCTGCATATTTTTTGGGTGATAGGTTCTTGGTTGGTTGGTTGCCAGAGTTCCTTGTTGCTTATTGTTTCTGGCCATCTGAACTTCAGTAACAAGCCTAGGCAGCAGTTGTTGACGAATGTCTGCAGTTTGTTGGAAATACTTTCCGTAACACCCCAATTCTCTCAACCATCACATAGAAGCACTGACTTACTTGACTGACATTAGTGTTGAAAATCCGGATCTTGTTCCATATGCTGAGTGAGGAAGATCTCCACACTGGTTTCAGGTTAATGAAGGCCCGTCTTGCTGTCTTTCCGATCCTAGTTTTGACATCCTCGTCTGTGCCATCACCGCCTGTAGTTGAAACGATGCTGCCTAGGTGTCTAGGTGAAAGAGACAACTTCCTTTAGATTTCTCCCGTTAATGGTGATTGGTGTTTGTTGTTCATGCTGTTATTGGTCGGGTATCTTCATCACTTCCGTCTTTTCTACATTCACTTGAAGTCCCGTCTTCGCTGCCTTGCCTCTTCTGTCAACTTGTTGGTTTTCACCTGTAGATCTTAGGTTTGTGTGACAATAAAGATAAATCGTCGGTGAAATCCAAATCTTTGAGGCTCCTTCCCCCGATCTAGCTAGCATATCCCCCTCATCTCACTCCTCATTGTTTGTTGCATGATCCAGTCCAGCCCACCACAATCAAGAAGATTATGGGTGAAGGTAGACAGCCTTGTTTTACTCCTGTCTTCACTTCAAAGGCATTACTGAGCTTTCCATTGTGGATCAATTGGGATGTGGAGTCTTCATATAGCTGTTGAATGAGGTTGATAAAGGTTTTTAGCACTAAAACCGTAGTGTTGAAGCAACTGCCAAATACCTAACTATAACGTATCATAATTCATAAAAAGATGAAACATCCACTTTCAAGCACAAAATATAAGGTAATGCATAACACAAAGTTTTACTAAACATGTAATTATTTTTGAAATATAAGTCATAAAGAAAAGGGTTAAGAGTTGATTGAAAGCTCTTGAACCCAATGAGTTATACAGTAAAGAATGTTATTAAGTGATAAGTTAGACGACTCTAAATAGAGATACTTTACTAAGATTCATATTTTCAACTTTTTAATTGATATAACCATGAGTTGTTAATTTAAAAAAGAAAAATTATCTTACCATCCTTTTTAAATGTATCACATACTAATTGAATTTGTTCAACTGGATTTCGATAATTATCAACACCATGTAGAAATTCATGGCAAATACAGTTCAGTATCTGTAGATAAAATGAACAAGAATTGTATTTAACATGAAAACTATTTCCAGTATGTGGACACTTATTAAAGATTTCACTGGCAGTAAACACCTTAGTAAAGAAGCACATTTTGACGTCTGTGCTTTAAACAAATTGTTTATATGTCAATTCACTTTTCGTATTTCACTTTGCCAATAAAGAATGTTGTCCACAGTACACCGAGAATGATGCTTTCAAATGTCTCAAATCATTGAACCCTTCAAACAGTTTAAGTTCAGATGGCATATCAAGTTTCATGTCCAAGATATGTCCTAATATATTACGCCATCCATTAGCTAACATATTAAACAGATCACTATTAGAAAACACAATGCTGCCAGTTGCCTGGAAAGATATCAAGATAGTCCCCACACCTAAGTCAGAGATTCCAGGTACATGTTCAAAATTCCATCCAATTGCGGTTACCTCTCTGTTCTAGCAAATAATAACTGTCCTCGAACCCTCTTTGAATGCTCTTGAAGACCCTAATCAATTAGCATATAAAAATTGAAGAAGCACTCTGGATGCCAACACTCACTTATATCACATTATTGCTTGGAATCTTAATAGAAATGAGAAGTATGTCAGGTATGCCTTTTTAGACTGTACTTCAGCATTTGATTGTCTCAACAGATCTTTTGGTCTGCAAGTAAGTTGAGACACATGCTGAGTCCAGGATAATCAATTGACTGTATTCCTATCTTCCTGAAAGGAAACAATATACTGTTCACAGATGGAAGCACTCCACCTCAATGCTTACTGTGACTAGTGTTCCTCAAGAAGCCGTCCTTTCCACCTTCTTTTCCCTTTCTCTTTGCATGGATTACCACCTTCAGCCAGTATCAATTTCATTAAATATGCTGATGGCATAAGTCTCCATACTTGACCTGTCTCCTCTTCAACAGGTTGTTCCCAACTCCATGATTTCCAGTCTATGTTAGACGATGGTCATCCGTCAATTGTCTTGTGCCTAATTCATCAAAATATCAGACCATAAACTTTAGTTTTAGACGTGAACATAACCTATACAAACTACTTAGTTCTCATGATTCCTGTTTTACTGATAGTTATGTATTAGAAAATGTTACATATGTGGTTTATCTTCGGACTTTCCCTGGTCCTCCCATATCTTACTAATTTTCAAAAAAATTTTCTGCCTGACTTTCTATATTAGGAAGCTGAGAGTACCTGGTATAACTCAGCTTCTCATCTTTTGCTTTATAAACTCCTCCATTTTCTCTGTTCTCGTCTATGGTTCACCTTCATTCTTTTTCAGGTTGTTGAAAAATGACTATGATCTATTGAGTAGAACCAGTGGTGCTCCTCCAAACCTTCTTGTTAAAACTGTTGCAGACGAACATTTTACCTCACGTAAACATTTGGTAAGAGTTATTTTGTCAGATGACGAGCATCGATTTCACTTAAATCTCTACACATGTCGGTCCTCAGGTAAGACGAGGAGCAAGTATGTAAGACTTTATATACACACTTCCACTACCATTACTTTATGATCTCGCATCCAGCTAGTATCCTAAAGAGAGTGTGGGGGAAGTCAAAGTGCATCCAACCATCTTGTGAATAATCGTGCAGCAGGGTAGGCAATGAACCAAACTTATTTCAAAAAAGTTAATGATGCTACTTGCTTGTTCAGACATCGTTCACCAACAAACCCCCTACAAACCACTGACTGAAAGTCGGAAGTTTAGACCGATAAGCCAAAGAGATGTGAATTTATATAGGAAATAAGCCTCCGTTAGCATACCTTTCCCCCTCCCCCCCCCCAGTCTCCTTAATAAGTCTAAATAACTGTCTACTGTTACCAACCGCAGGCACCTTTTCCATCTCTTTAGCCTTCGCTGCCCACCACTGTTCGCGATCGTTGCGTAGACTTTTTCCCAGTCTACTTTTAAGCTGTGCCCGATCTTCATTGTACTCAGAGCCTGCAGGGATACGTTCATGTGCATCCATTAGTTCAGAAGAAGCTTCTGATATCCACTGGCTCTTTTCTGCTACTATTTTTGAAGTCGGCTAAAGCCTTCAACGCTGCTTTTACAGCAGAGTGAAGATGGCACCAAGCTTCTTTTGGATGAGTGATAGTCTTTTGTGCAGATAACTGCCTAGCCAACTTCTCACTGAACACGGCTTTGGTGTTTCCGTTGTCCAGCAGCACTCGTAGTGGTTTTGTTGCCAAATTTTTCTTACGTCCATTGAGACGCAGACATATACGCGCTCCGACCTACGAGGGTCGCTATCCAAACACGTACTTCAGAAGGAGTAGCAGTCTTCCACCGATCCTCTCCAGAGATGAATAATAGCAATATGGTCTACCTGAGTCCATCGCTGGGTTGAGCTCGGTGGACGCCACATCAGACAGTGTCTTTTCTTATGTCTGAAATTTGTGCTACCTAAAAACAGGCAATTATCTGAGCGCAGTTGTAGTAGGCAATCACCGTTATTTGTTCGTTCAGCTGGGACTCCGAAAATGCCACCTAAGTACCTTTCTGCCACACTCAGTCTACCCACCTGTGTGTTGAAGTCACCTGCAACAACCACCGCGTCCGAACGTTTGGCTTTTGAGAGGAGGCTAGACAGTTTACGGTAGAACTCGTCCTTCATTTCATCCGAGCTGCAGTCAGTGGGTGCGTAAACAGAGGTTACAAAGAGACAACGGTGAGTCTCACTATTCCTTTTAGTTCTCACCATGCCGTTCAGCCACATAGCACAGAGGCAACTATCAACTGGGATCCAGTCTAGTAGTGAGTTTTCTACCCTAGTGCTTAATGCAACGCTTACACCTGCAAGACCACGAGAGCTAGCTATCGGATCTCCAGAAACTCGAAGGGTGAGTTTTGGGGATTCACCAGATTGGTCGGGGGAGCTCAGGTGAATAACCACACTTGGGTCCTGTATGCGAGTCTGACAAACACAACATACAACCATGGCCCGAGTTGCTACAGCCTCTGCCAACGAAGCCTGTTGACCAATTTGACGGAGGGTGCGGACATTGAAGGCTCCATTATTTAATTTGGAGCGTGGTTTAAGAATACCAAGATGCTGTTCTGTGAACTCAGATCGTTGTCAAAGGCTGCAGAACTAGGAGAGATTAAAGATGATGTAGTATCGTTAATTGGGGGATGAGAAGGAAGATTAGAAGGTAATGAGGGGGGGAGGTGGATAGCAGTCTGAGGAATCTTGAGTGCTGACAGAGTTGTGAGGCGATTAAAATTTCCCGGCTACCCAAACCGTGGAAGGCTGTTTCTTCTTAAAGTACCTGAAAGAGATTTGTGTGACCGCAAAGCCCATCAGACATCTGCTTGAGGCCTGTCACATCCAGCCTTTTATATATGATTATTTTGAACTTTTGTATTTTTGGGGCCAGATGGTCGAAAAGAAACGACAAATGAACCAACACCGCCAGCCCGGCAGACCGTGGGGTATGGTGGAGTGTGTTATTTGGGGGGCCGACCTTTTCTAATCCTCCCTTCCGCTGAGAAGGCAGCGTCAGCATGGCACTTTTGGTCATCCAAGGGAAACACCTTACTGCTGTCACATCCCATCCAGCTAACAGCAGTACGACTTCACCCTCAAACCCCATTATAGTGTAGTAATTTTCATCACAACGGTAACTGCTTTTCGTCTAACCACTATCCAACAGACCTTTCTGGTATGGTAGGACCTCGAGGGAACAAGGTGTTCCACCAGCATAGCCCGTTGGGTCATTGTGAATTGCAAGCTCGACCACCACTTCAAGATAGCAGCTATCGGTCGGGGATAGAAACAAAAAGGGGAAGGGGTATGAAAAGTAATTCTAGAAGTTACATCATATTGACAGCCATGGTAAATAAAAGTGGTCGAACAAACTTCTTTTGAATACAAAGGTTAAGTTTGCTAAGATGGATTGCAATCGCCTCTGCTATGTGAAGTAAACAAGTGCGTAACCCACGTGGTAAATTAATTGGAATCTGATGAATGATTTTGAAAGCTTTTCTAGTATCCACTTGATGTCCCGTGTTAACTAGGTGTGCAAGTATGTAGTTCTTTATTGTTTTTATTTGTCCCTTACTGAACCATCATGGGCGTTGCTCAAAAATTCGACGATGAAACTGCCTCATTGTATGCCCAACGTAACTAGCTCCATAGGAGCAGTTGAATGGATAAATGCACATGGAAGTGGCAGAATCAGATAGTTTGTCTTTATTTCTTGCACCAAGAATCGGGCGGTTGTAGAAGGCGGGACATAATTTAGCGGCTGGGAATGCTTTATGCAAGACTCTTTGTATGTGCTATATGATGAAGTCACTGGTAATGTCACTGTTGAATTTCAGCTTTAAGAAGATTTGTTTCTTAGGAACTGTTGGCATTGTTTTCTTAACGCTCGTAATATTCATGTGCTTAGTTACATATATCCTACAAACTACCGTTTTATGTATGAACTGGGATAAGATTGGTAGACACTGGTGTATTAGAATCCTTCCTTATCATCATCTGACCATCACATTGTATATCGCATTTTACATAATGGTTGAACAATCAATTTATACTATTCAGTAAGTCCTACATGAGGTTAGTCACCACCTAAATAATTCATTAGTAAAGTCTATGACTTTAGTATTGAGTGACACGGGTTCGTATCTCTCAAAGGATATGAGTTTCTTCAACGTTCCAGATACACTTTATTGTACTTGGAGACAAGAGGAAAGAAATCAAGATCAAAGGATCCCAACTGATTCACGTTGACGATAAGAATTTTCATGAGGTATACTTTTAAAACTTTGTTAACCGACTTAGACAAGCAGTTACCACACACTGTTCAATTTGTATAAGCTATCCAGTTTTACAAAGCAGACATTATAAGACTGGTATCACCTACCTTGAAGTGTCATACTAGGGGAGAAGCTGGATTAGGTTGGGAAAGGGCTTACGGTGGCCAGATCAAGGCATGGCACCAGTCGATGTAGTCCTTGACTGTTGGTTTAAGCCATATGGGGAGATATAGACTATCTGATTGAGATCCTTTGGACAATAAGAATCAGTGGCGCAGATGTAATCACTCTTCGACGTCTTCCAATGCTTGAATATTCATAGTAACCTTCATCTTCAAATCGTTTATTAACTCACACAACTTTCTCCACTTTAATATCATCCCTTTTCTATCAACCTGTTCTTTTTGTACAACTATGGAATGTGCCAACTAGAACCAATGCACTTGTATGTGAGGTTCTACATTGATTCTGTCTTATTAAGCATCAGATGTGATCCAAGAGGATAATTTTTAAAATCCATGACTTTCAAAGCTTCGAATTTTTGAGGAAACATCCTATTTCCTCAGAATTACACATACTTTTGCTGATAAGTAGTAACAATCTCAATGCGTAAACTAAGCAGAGCAGCCTTCTCATTGATACATAACAGAGAAGTTCGAAGACAAGAAAAATCAATTTGATTGGTCAAATTGCTCGATCTCTGTTCGCAGGTTGGTACCTGTGCGGATGCCTTGATACTGCCGGATATTCATGATATTGCATTTTTCTTGGTGACTCATAAGATGAATTTGCCTCATCATCACTCACTGAGGTGTAGAGGTACATTCATCTGACGAATACCAAATAGGATGAAACGGACATCCTGGATTCCACTACGAGTAACCAAGATGAATACAACAACTTCCATTTTGCTTTAGACCACTTTCAAGTACCCGATTGTGTAACATAATCTCCATGCTTCACAGTTTGTCATATGTACACATATTACTTATCTATAAAAATTCTAATTGTGTCAGATCTTCATATTTGAAGGTTGGATCTGATGAGATAAAATGTTCAATTTGAGAACGACTTACAAATTTCACAATTCACCTTGACAATCATCACAGTTGAGTAAATTTTCAACTTCCAGCCAACTGTAATGGTGTCAAATAGGGTTTCCGCTGAAAACCATTCGCCAGCCAAGATCATAAGTTGCGATCTCTGATATAAAATTGTTATGAACTAGTAAAAGATACTACTACCAAAGAATATGAGTAGTTAGAAATCACCCAGAATGATCTGTAGACTTTTCTAGCTCATCAGCAGTGGTACTTGGACACATTCAGATCATACAGTCAAATTAGTTCAGACCATCTGAATCTAGCTAGCAGACTTGTATGAACCAATAACACTAAAATAGGATAATCAATTTTCAAATGATTTTCACCATTGATGAGGTCAGTCTCAAACGAGCAAAACGACTGTCCAGCGTTTAGGTCACTATCACCTCCCTCCTTGGCGAAATCTGAGTATTTTCCCAACTACTTGACTTGTTTAATAATGGTAGAATCTGATGAAACTTTGAAGAAAACTAGTATTCGCCTAAGTCCATTGTCTTTTCAAAAACCGGTTTTACTAGTTAGTAAGTTTTTGGAGTAAAAATAATTTACACTTTGAAATAAAACCATTACAAACATACTTGTCGAATATTAGTTGATGGACTATAGCCTGCAATCACTATACAATTAGCATCAGATAGATATTGTTTACGAAATTCTTCAATAATATGTCGTTTAGAGCCAATCCCGTACAAAAGAATATTGAATCCTTCACTGAAATATATAATACATACACATGGATATATTGTTATGTTGATGAATAATTACTACTGACCAGTGACAATTACACTGGTGAATAGAATATACTTGGCTAATTAATCAACAAGACATTTTATTTATAAAAATTTAAAAGCATCTATCCATTATCCATCCAAATCAACATAAGACTAGGCATTATAGAGTAACGGTCCGAGTTGCCACACCTCATAACAGTACATCAAGTAAAAAGCCAGTGAAGTGGAAGATGAAGAAAAGAAAATTCAGGCAAAAGAAATATAAAGTACTAAAAGAGATAAATAAAGAATGAGAAAATGGTGAGATTCGGTATAATGATAAGACAAGGGTAATATGTGTATGCATCTGTGCCACTCACATTGGTTCTGAGACATATCACCTACAGTCAGTGTCCAACCACTGGTTCCCCTTGTTCCATGGCCCCCAACCACCTAGTTTGCATCTCTCCACATGGCTTAAACCAACAGGCAAACACTTTATACATTGGTGCCATATTTTGGTCTAGCCGCCTCGGGCATTTCTCCAGTCTGAACCTACTTCGGTCAACATTGTGTGATGAGGCAATCAGCGACTAGACATAGGTAACACGTGTCCCAACTATCTCAGTCGATGAAGGTTCGTAACCGTGTCAACTGACTTACCTCTAATCCCTAAAACTCTGCGCCTGACTTCTGTGTTACTCACATGGTGACACCACGGAATACGGCCTACACTGCGAAAGCAACGGTGGTCAAACACCTGAAGCCTTCTCATATCTTCTACCTTAAATGTTCGTGTTTAAAAGCAATACAGTAGAATACAGAAGACTGTAGCACAGCGTTCTCGACCCTTAATAGACAATCGGATATCATGGCGATGCCACAGGTGGTGTAAGTTGGCGAAAGCCAATGGAGCCTTTTGTATCCGTGCACAGATTTTAACGGCCACTGAGACACCAAGGCTGATTCCTTTCACTTCCCAGGTAAGTGAAGTGGTCGACACACTCAACCACTTCACTCTCTATTGTTGGCCATGGTACTGATGGAGACCAGTCCTGGAGCAAAAATTTGCATTTGGGTGGTGAGAACCGCATCCTAAACATTCTCAAATTCTCACTCTAAGTGTTCAGAAGACTCTGCATCTTGTTGGTGTCTTCACCTAACAGAACTATGTCATCTGAGTATTCTAAGTCTAACGAAAATTCTCCTGTGATTAGGTCAACGTCTGTGTAACCTAGTGATGAAAGGGAGACCTCCATAACAATATCTATGATAAAATTCAACAGGAATGGAGAGAGTAGGCACCCTTGACGGACACCACTCGATGAGCACAGCTCCCCGGACATCTCACCGTAGGCTCTAACACGCTTACAAGTGTTCGAGTAGAGAGCTTTCAATAAGGTGATGTACTTACTTGGCATGCCTTTCAGCGAGAGACATTGCCATAAGACTTCTCGATCAACAGAATTTAAAAACGCTTTACACGCATTCTAAACCTCGACGTGTTTGGAATCCTATACAATTTGCAACACCATGGCTGATTAGCTTAGACACTTGGCTTTTCAATAATAAGTCATTGGTTCAAAATACACTGCATATAGATGGGTTCGTTTAGTTAGCTAGGTGCCTTGAATAATATATATGACTTAACATCCAGTACCCGGAATGGTCCACGATGGGTACAGTTTTTCAATCCTCTCAAAGTACTCTAATACGTTAAATATGTTCATAACTTCTCCCCAGGAATCTCTTGTTTACTGTTTTTAAGCGGCAGAAATGATTTCATAAAAGTCATAGTCCCTTACTTATCATCGGATTAAGAGATGCGGAGAATCCACCTGCGATTAAGTTAGTAGACCTGGGGATTACAAACCACTGGTGAAGATGACTACATCATGTACACAGGTCTAAGAGCATGCAGTGTGCATTTAGTCCTAGTGCAGGAAACGTCATTTTGAAACCCCGGATTCACTAGCTTGGATATATAGTCCACAAGCTGTTCCAGTGATTTTCATTGTAGCATTGTATGATTGTAACTTTTGTTCCTTTTGATTTGAATCTTGCTGTTATGATCCTGAAGGAGGAGATTGCTACCCGCTGCCTGAGAGCCTTCGATGCTCTCGGGGACATCATAATAGCCACTCTAAAACTCAGTGTGCTGATGTTTGTTGTCTGGGTGACAATATCGGAGTAGATTATTGACTCTCCAGTTGACGGTTTGGGCAAGGCTGCCTGCCCTGGGCTTAGGACCGGCTTATAAACTAGGTGAGTTTGGCTGACTGGGAGTATCTACATGATATTGTTATGGTAGGTGAAGACGCTGGTAAAATGTAGGGTCTTCTGAACACGATGAGTAGAAAATCTGAATATGTTTGGCTGGCATACGTTTCGCACATGCCAAATGAAAGGTTATGCTTCAAGAATGGCCTGCAACGACTCTCAGTTTAGGGATAGGGAGTGAAGTGGTGGAATGAATCAACCAATTCACTTAATTAAGGTTGTTGATAAAATCTCAGTTCGGATACACAAGGCCTGTTTGGCAACTTGCGTCATCTGTGGCGTCGATTGGCAAGATATCTGACTGTCTATCAAATAACGAGTAGATTGCGTTGCAGTCCGTTAAAAGTAGAAGACATAAAGCGGCTATAAAGTTTTGATCACAGATGATATCGTAGCATTGTTCACGTTTGGTGGAATCACAATTTTCACAATGTTGAGGTCAGGCAAACAGTACTAGTCAAGTAAGGTAAGTTGATTGATTCAGATGGCTTGGACATGTACTCGGTATGCCGAGTCTCCGCCTCCTTCAACATACAATGCCAATGGAAGCTGGATTAGGTTGGAAGAGGGTTAAGGGAGGTCAGACCAAGACGTGGAACCAGTCAATGAAGTCTCTTACTGTTGATGTGAGCTGTGTATGGAGATGTAGACTACCTGATTGGGGGCGGCGAGATTGTAGCGATCAGTTACAATGGCGCAGATATATCCACTCCCTGACATCTAAAGCTTCAATATTCGCATTAACCGTTAGCTTCAAATAGTTTATTCTCTCCTACAATTTTGTTCACTTTGATGTCACTCTTTCTGTATCCACCTGTTTCTTGTGGCTACTTGAGACGATGCACATGTTTACGAGGTTCTATGTTGATTTTGCCAGTCTCTCTCTGTCTGTATTTCGATCGCACTTCACTTTGTAAGGTTGTACTGGCACTGGACTTCTAGATTCGATCTACACTGAAGACACAAGTCACATGTTTTTGGCTGATTGATTCATGAATAGAATTCGTTCCTGAAGTGTGCGAACTACGATTCAATTGGCTTAAAGACTGCATTTATATCTGTGGTATGGTGTAACATTAGTTGGAATCTTTAGAAAACTATCAGCTTCCTGATGAATTTGAATGTGCCGCGCTAATCAGTATTCCTAATCACTAAACGACAATCCTGTAAATTGTCATTATATATTTAACACTGACTTTATGATCTTGTTCGTGAAGGTGATATCTCAGTAAATGTATATGATCTACACTAAGGTGAAAGACAATAAATTGGTAGATCCAGGTTTTGTGTTTGTTGTCACTTCTTAGCAAGATGTTTCTGTAATCTGAAGGGAAAAAAAACTTTCCCTAAAGCATCCAAACTTATGTCATACACATTGTTAAATGATCAATCAAAGTCGAGAAACAACCAAAGATACAAAAAATGGAAATGGTTACTCTCCGGTAACTCAATCAGTGTCTATTATTTTGTCTTGCAGGAAGTCAGTTATGGCTCAGTGACAAAGTCTCTGATTATAACACTAGATGATACAGGTTTGGATCTATGAGGAGATGAGTATCACTTCCCTTGGGTTGCGCATACTTCATGTTGATGGTAGCTAACAAGAACAAAACCTAAGTTCAGAACTTCATGCTAACTACTTCCAATCACAATTGACTTTGTTGTGTTCACCACTGGAATCTAGGATGGGAGATTCATCCTATTTAGTACTCGTTAGCTGGATATACCTGAGCCCCAAAGCGTTATCTACTGGGTCATCACCCCAATAAACAATTAGAGAATATCAAGGTATCTTCACAGGAACCTCCACATGCCAACAGAGGTTGATTAATTAGTTCCAGTATAACAACGGAGGATTACAATTATCAACAAATAATATTACCTTGAATCGTCTGGCACTAACTAAAGTGTATCGTAATAGTGAGTCTTCGAGTGTGCCGATCACTTTATAAAGTGATCGATAAAATGCAGTTAGTACTCAAGACTGGTTACCTTTCCAGTGGCCAATGACTATACAGTAAAGTTATTCACTGATAATTCTATGTTCCTTTCGTCAGATTTTCAATTAGTCTAGTCTCACTTTACTCATCTTGATTCAAATAGCAATATGTTAGTACTGCCATCATCTCTCATACGATAAGGGTAGTTCCTGGGAGTGATGGGAAAACCTAAATTCATATTTTCAAAAAGGTGAACTAGATTTGGAGATTTGTGAGAATTGATTGATTGATTTCAGGCTGATATTCATCATAGACTGAAATCAGTTGGAGAATCATTGGAAACTTGAACATCTGTTTCGTCCCAGTATGGGACTCATTGGCAGTTTGCACCTATAACCCGTCAGGGATCCAACCCAGGACATTCATATCCCACGGCCAGCATATTATCATTGAACCAGTGACTTGGAAATTCGAATCCATCAAACAGATAGTACAGAAGAAAAGAGGAAAATTAGTTGAACACCTACCGCAAATAAACTCTCCAATTACTAAATAATCGAGTGCACAATTCCAATGTTAACTTCTCCATAACAGGTAACTGTTTCGGTTTATAACAGTTACGAAATTGTTCCAAATCAACTGGATCAGGTAGGCCAGGATTATTTCCAATACGAAGTTGTGCCAAGGTATGATTACTTGTTTTCCCTCGACTAGTGTTACCATGTTGTAAGAAATATGAATCTAAAGCCTCGATTGACTAATCTATAAAAGAACAATAGAATTTTATTAAAACAGAACAACTCCAATAGGGACAGCTAAAATTTTAAAGTGATATGTTTTTTCCTCTTGGAGTTTTTTTCTTGACGTTTTGGTGAAGCGTCTGTACTATTCAAACGTTACGTCAGACTGATCCTGTCCTTGAGTTTGATAGTGAACCGTTGGAAACTGTGGAAACATTTGTGAGCAGACTAAACAAGGATTAACATTTTAAGTCGTTTTAAGTTGCTAAGCTACAAGTCATTGTATTTCATCTTTTGTTTCATATTGCTGCGTAGTCAAGAAAACCCTAATTGGACAATTTGTCCTAGAGCTGACTATTTAAGATAAGTTACGTAATAGCTGATCTAGTTGTTTTATCTCTATGAAGACTATGGATAAATAATGAATTTTTATCAAATAAAATATCTTTTTTACAATCACAGATCGGTCTCTGTTTCTATTTTTCATATAGCTGCGAAGGCAGAACAGTGGTTATTCGTATCTGCTCCAGGTGTCTAATCGCGTTGATATTATTGGCGTATCTCTTATTATTCACTTGGTCACTTCGGTTTGTGCACTTCGGTAATTGAGTGAGTGCTCATGGGGATGTGATTGGTGACAAATCTAAGTGAGTATCAAAAACCAGAGTGCTAAACACCCATCTGCGTCACCTTTGAAGGTGTCATGATGTTGACTTTGCTGTAAAAGGTCGGATATGTAATCTGTCTTCTGGGGGTTGCTCTGTCCTATGCCTGTGAAACCTGGACTCTTCAAGCTGAAGATGTCCAACGATTCTGCGTTTTCGATAACTTCAGTCGTCACACAACTGATCAAATTCGATGGAAACATCATATAAGTAATTGTGAGGTGAGGTGATGCAGATTGTCATCTTGAAACACCGGCTTCTACATCGCTCACTCTGAGACTGTATAAAAGAAGCAGAGAGATGGCTAGTGGATAACATGGCGCCATGGGACGAACGGTATTTTTGCTAGGTTAGTATCTGTAGGTACCTCAAGACTACTTGAATGGGGTCCGAGAGATAATTTCACTCAATACTTCGAGAGAATAGCAGATACATCTTAGAACCGAAACTACTGGCAAGCATGTTGCAGTTTCTTGTCCTTTCTGTTACTGAAAAGTAAAATGAGATAAGTGATGAATAGTAATAAAGTGTTATTTTCCAGGCAGTCTTGCAGGCGTGTGAAGTAAGCCATTTTTACTTACTTACCATGAGTTAACTTAGGTGACCAAATGAGAATGAGGTCAACCGATTAATCTATGAACATAAGACGAAAGTCTGTTGACCACCAAATCCAATTATCACCAGCATAACCAAACATATCAAACACCTAAGCAGGATAATTTCCGGCAATCTAAATAATAACTACGTATTTTTTTGAGGGAGTTGTGGAGATTTGGAGATACTTCAAGTTGTTATTCATCGTAGACTGAGATCAGTTAGAGGAACAAAGGGAACCTGAGAGCACTGGACAGCTGTTTCGTCCTAGTATGGGACTCCTTAGCAGTGCGCACCCACGACCCCGCCAGGGATCGAACCCGCGACCTTCAGGTTCCGCGGCCAGCACGTTACCATAGAGCCACTTGGTCTTTCGTTCCTCCAACTGATGTCAGTCTACGATGAATGACAACTTAATAACTACGTAACCTAAAAATGTTTCCATAGCAAACCGAAATCAGTTAGAAACCATCTTGAGAACTAGGAAACATTGAAAAGCTTTTTCATTCTGTTTTGCAATTCTCGTGACGGATTGAATTCATAACCTTCAGACTGGTAGTTGCCACGTTATCATTTAAGCCCAGCAGATGAGTCGTTATGTGCTTTCCAGAGTACGCTGGTTTTTATTGGTTCTCTAGTTAGTGTCCATCTGAGACAGAATCAATTAATTCCGTCCACAAAGTAATGGTAGCGAAATCTCTAATATCCTAGTATATATTCTCGAAATTTCCGAACCAATTTTTTCAAGTTGGTATTCATCATAGACTGATATCAGTTAGAAGAATATTAGAAACGTGGGAGCACTGTATATCTGTTTCGTCCTAGTGTGGAACTCCTCAGCCATGCGCACCCAGGATCTTCAGGTTCCGCCGCCAGCACGTTACCATTCAGCCACTCGGTCGGAATCCAATGGTTCATATTTCCAACTTCTGTCAGTTCACCACATGGTGCAAACATCATTCAGTGTCATCGCTGAGTACTCGTTCTCACACCCACCACCTTTGCTCTACCGGTCACAACTTCCCATTGGAACTTTAGGAATTCCTTCTCAAAACTAGTTACCAATAAGTTTTAGATTAATTCCATTTGAGGGCTTGCAGGCATTTATTGTTTGCTCATTGATGACTTGTTTCGAGAAGGAATTCCTGAAGTTCCAATGAGAAGTCGTGACAGGTAGGGTAAACATGGTGGACGTGAGAACAAATATTCAACGATGACACTCGATGTTGGTTGAGTCATGTCATGAATTGACAGAAGTTGTAAATATGAATTAGTGGATTCCAACCCAGCAGTTGAATGGTAACGGGCTGGCCAAGGAACCTGAAGATCCTGTATGTGTACTGCTGAGGAGTATCATACTGAGACGAAACAGTTGTCCAGTTCTCCTAGATTTTTAATGTTCCTCCAACTGATGTCAGTCCATGATGAATACGAACTTGAAATTAATAAATCCCTATAAACCCAAAATTTTAACCGAATTTTAATCCATATATATGTATATGACTTACTGCATCACATGGTTTCGCCTCAGACTTACTATGGACTGTGTTTGATGTCTCTAAAATGTGATAGAATATATACTGTCAGACTGAGTATGTGTATATAACAAAACAAAAAATGCTCAAATTTTCTTATATAAGTGATACAATTTATCCTAGGAATTTCACTCCACACAATTGATATTCGCCTTGAACAACACTGTTAATTACTATGTCGACGTTTCCGTACTACTATTATTTCTCCCTTGGGTTCCTAGTGGAACACAGGGCTTCAATAGCACGTCTTCATTCCACTCTCTTTTCTGCGATCTTTTGAACTTGGCTCCACCACTGCCCACAAGCTTTCATTTATTCCTCACATGACCTCCTCCATGTCACACTCGCCTTGAGCGTCTAACTCACCGTTTCCCATCTTGGTTCCACTCGAGGGCTTGGCGCGTGATGTCCCCAATCAGTCTTCTCAGTGTGTGCCTATTTTCACATCCTTCTGCATATTTGTTGAGGGATAGGTTCTTCGTTGGTTAGTTCCCAGAGTTCCTTGTTGCTTACTCTTTCTGGCTATCTGAGCCTCAGTAACGAGCCAAAGTAGACAGTTGTTGATGAATATCTGTAGTTTGTTGGAAATCCCTTTCGTGATGCGCCAAGTCTTTGAACCATACAGAAGCACTGACTTGACGTTGGTGTTGAAAATCCGGATGTTGTTCACGCTTTATGCTGAGTGGAGTGCATAAGATCTCCACACTGGTTTCAGGTTAATGAACGCCTATCTTGCTTTTCCAATCCTGGCTGCTTTGACATCCTCGTCTGTACCGCCTATAGTTGAAACAGTGTTGCCTAGATAGGTGAAAGAGGCCACTTTAATTTTCTCTCGTTGATGGTGATTGGAGCTTGTTCTTGGTGATGGTGGTGTTGGCTGGGTATCTTTATCACTTCTGTCTTCTCTATATTCACTTGAAGTCCCGTTTTCGCTGCCTCGCCTCTTCTGTCAACTTGTTGGTTTTCGCCTGTAGATCTTCAATTTTGTGTGACACTAGACACAAGTCATCGTTGGCGAAATCCAAATCTTCTAAGACCCCGGGCCAGCCAGCGTATCCCCCTTTTCTCGCTCCTCACAGTCTGTTGCATGATCCAGTCCACCACAAATAGGAAGATCATGGGTGAAAGTAGGCAGCCTTGTCCCACTCCTGTCTTTACTTCAAAGGCATCACTTAGCTTCTCACTGTAAATCACTTGGCATATGGCATCTTTATATAGTTATTGAATGAGATTGATAAAGGTTTGTGGCACTAAAACCGTAGTGTTGAAGAAACCGCCAATTTACTTCTCGGTCGACGCTGTCGAAGGCTTTTTCAAAGTCGACAAAGTTGAGGTAGAGAGTTGACTGCCATTCTATGCTCTGTTCTATGATGATGCGTAGCATCGCGTTGCTATTTGGTCCGCATATGATTTGTACTTCCTAAATCAGGCCTGTTCCCGTCGCATTTTTGAATCCAGAGCATCATTTAGTCTCTCCAAGATGATGCGGTTTAATATTTTTAATGATAAAATAGGTGCTGTTAGAAAAGAAATATCATAGCTACTTGTATTGAGCTTGAGATTAAATAGCGTGAAAGTTACTCAGATACCCAAAACGAAGGTAACAAATTACACACACATGAACAACATACAACTTGTTACAGTTAATAATCATTCTAAACCGTTAGACTTGGCATCAGTACAGCCAGGAGGGATCATTCAGACGATGGCAATAATAATAACAATAGTAATAATAATCCTAATGAAAACCTACATGTTCTGCAGAAGCTCAAGATTTTCAGAGATTCCCTAAGTTATGTCAGTCTATGATGAATATTACGTTGAAATAAAATATCTATCAATCCAAAACTAAAATTGTAGTCTAGTGCTTCATTAGTGACAAGCTTTGGCATAGATATTCTGAAGTTACAATGAGAAACCATTAATTGTGTGATGAACTGATCGAAAGTGAAGATGTCAACTGAAAACGATAGATGATAATTGTACTATACCATGAAATGATATATTATTTATTATTAGTCCCTTGGGTTCCTAATAGAACATAGGGCTTCACTA